TTTGCCCTCTCTTGGTTTTCTGGAGTGCTGTCAAGGCCTTGGACGCGAGCTGGGCAGCCTGAGTCCTCCCAAGGAAGATCACGTCGAGCCCTGACCCTAACCTTCCAACCCCATTTGTGAAGGTCATGGCTCTGTTCTGTCGGCATTGAAGCACGATGCGTTTTGTTCAGTGTGCTTGGAACTCACAGCACCTAGAGCCTGGCGTAGTGAACTTTGTGATAAGCAAACGTTTGGTGCCGCATCCCCCACAGAAGCCCTTGCTGCACATGTTAAAGACTCTCTTTGGACCTGATTCCAAGTGACCAGGCTCTCAGAGCCACAATGCTGGTTTCAAGTGGCTGAGCAGTAAACTGGTTCCCTGTCTTCATCTTCCACGTCCAGTGAGCTCTTCTCTTGGTGACCAGTCTCACGACAAGGATAAATCTTTTTATTAAAAAAAAAAAAATTTGAGTGGCAGAGAGCTCTAGTCACTGGTTCACTACCCAAATGCACACGATGGCCATGGCGGGGGGGCGGGGGGAGGGAGGAGGTAGTCAAAGCCAGAAGCTGGGAACTCAATCCAGGGCTCCCGCTTGAGTGGCAAGGACCCAACTATTGAGCCATCACTGCTGCCTCCTGGGGTCCACATTAGCAGGAAGCTGGAATTGGGAGTGGAGCAAGGACTGGAACCCGGGCACTCTGGGATGGGATGCATGTGTCCCAGCCAGCATCCCCAACTTGCTGAGCTAAACACCCTCCCTGGCTGGTTGATCTTCACCAGAGAAGAGTCAGCTGGGCAGAGCCAGAGCAGGGGCTACGGGGCCTGCCTTATAGGACAGAGTGAGGGATACTGGGAAGGCCAAAAGGTTGTGCTGTGGTCTGCAGGTGAGCAGTGGCGGGCTGGAATCTGACACCTCCCACGGAACTCCACAGAGCAGTGCAACAGACAGGCCCAGTGAGAGATGCACAGGGGGTTACCTTCCCTGCCCCAAGCAAGTGGAGAATCCGTGACAAGCATCCAGGGGCAGTGTGCTCAGTGAAAAAGGTCGCTGTGACTTCGGAGCCCTGGGCCAATTTTAGATTCCTCTGACGATGAGCTTTTGCCAGATGCTAAGTTCGTTCAAGACCTTTGGAGTGGTTTCTGTGTTTCTAACGTTGCTTGGCACCGTGGGAAAATCGTAACAGGCAGCCCCGCTCTGAGTCTGCTTGCTAGTTCTTAGGAGAGGCAAGACAGGGACATTGTTGACAGTTAAGAAACTACACCCAAGTGGCTGCCAATGAGCGGCAGGAATGTAGAGTATTCATCTGGTGCCGTATTATGAGGCTATTCAAAGGACTGAAGTCTTGAGATGCAATATGGAAAAACCTTGAACATATTGTGCCAAGGGAAGATTCTGCTGATGTGAGATCCAGAATAGCAAACCTGTAAAGGCGGGGAGAGCAGACAACCTGCGAGGACAGGGGACGGGGGGGTGACTGCTGTAGGTGCCGGGTTTCTTCTTGGCGCGCTGGAGTTAGATTGTGGTGATGCCTAGCCTACTGAATCAGGAATACTCAAGGAAAAGTCACGTCTGTACTGAACACATACAGAATGGGTTTTCTTGTCATTGTTTCCTGAACAATACCATATCATAACTCTTCGCATAGCATCTACACTGGAGGTGGTTTAGTATGTGGGAGGATGTACATAGGCTGCCTGTAGATAATGTGCCATTTATATAAGAGATTTGAGCATCTGTGGATTTCAGTGTCTCAGGTCCAGGAACGCCGTACTAAACACAGTTGAGATATACCCTTTAAATAGGTGAACTTTACAGTGTGTGAATTATCTCTCTGATGTTAAGAGAAAGAAACAATATAAAATGGTGTGTAATTGGGTATAAATTTATATAGTGCAGACAGTAAGTGTTCTTCAGAAAATTAGGGAGAGATGCCAGTGTAAACAGAAGACTTCCTGGACATTGTAAAAATTATTAGTCAGTCAATTTATTTACTTGAGAGCCAGAAACAGAAAGAGTCATCCACTGGTTCACTCCCCAAATGCCCACACCAGCCAGGGCTGGGTCAGGTCAAAACTGGGGACCAGGGACCAGGAATAGTCTCCCTTGTAGATGGCAGGGACCCAACTACTTGAGTCATCAGCTGCCACCTCCCAGGATGCCTGGAAGTTGGAATCAGGAGCAGCACCAGGACTATAACCAGGCACAAGTGTCCCAACCAGTGTTCTGCTGGGCCACGCACCTGTCCCTTCCAGGGCATTTCTGATGGAGGACCTGCTGAGACAGTCCTCGGCAGGGTAAGCTTTGTTGTGTCAGGGCTCAGAACAGGCAGCCATGGAAAACAAGGCAACTGGCTGCAGAGGGTGGGGTCAGATTTAGGGAGCCTTGACTGAAGGCAAAGCAAGGGTGTTGGGTTTATTCATCCCATAAACAGTGTAGGAATTTTTTAAAAGATTTTTTAATTTATTTTTGAAAGTCAGAGTTAGGGAGAGATAAAGAGAGAGAGAGATCTTCCTTCCACTGGCTCAGTCCCCCAGATGGTCACCAACGGCCAGCAATGGACCAGGCCAGAACCAAGAGCTTCTTCCAGGTCTCCCGCATGGGTGGCAGGGGCCCAAATGCTCGGGCCATCTTCCACAGCTTTTCCTAGGCCATTAGCACGGAGCTGGATCGGAAGTGGAGCAGCCAGGGACTCGAACCAGTGCCAATATGGGATGTTGGCATTGCAGATGGCAATTTACCCACAATGCCAGCACTCAGTGTGGGGATCTTGATCAGGAGAATACAGTACATACAGACTTGAGAGCAAGGTGGGGTTGGGGGTCTTGACCCCAGGCATTGGAGGTTCTCCAGAGGTGAGGTGCAAGGAAGGAGAGGATAGAGCAGACTGAGACATGTTAGGAGACGAATCCAGGAAAAGAGTTGGCCCTGGAGGCTTTTTATAGATCCTGTACAAGAGTTTGGTTTGCACGTCTGGTTGGGATGGCGCCAGCTGGGCCAGGTCTCTGCCGCCTCCTCTTGATGGGGGTGGGGGGGATGCCTGATTCTGCTCCTTGCTGCATTTTGTCTTTGGAGTTCCTTTTTGTCTCCCGGACCTGTGGAAACAGGCTGTGTGATGCCAGAGGCGAAGAATTTGAGTTTGCTGTTGACCAGCGGCCGGTACAAGTCATGCACTGCAAAATATTTAATCAGTGAGGTCATTTGAGGGGAGCGAGATTTGATCAATAGGAGTGTCTGCAGTTTTCCTTAAGGGTCAAGTCCAAACGGATTGTCTAACACTTTCATTTGGCAAAACCACAGTCCATTAAAACTGGGAAGGGTCGGTTTTTCTGAGGCCCACAAAGGCTCATTTTTAACCCACTCACTTCTGCGGTGTCCCCTTGACTGGACTCACAGGAATAAACCACATGCTGGCCTTGTGGTTCCAGAACCCCTCATAATGCAGCACCCAGTTTTCAATGACCCAGTATTGGGCTGACACGGGCCAGGGACTGCAGCCCAGGCCACCCAGCCTTACCTGTTCGTCGTGGTCCCAAGGACCCATTGGAGCAAACCCCTGTGGGTCCCTGGTGTTGTCCGGTGCCAGGGGACCCCTTTTCCATTTATAGGGTGTTTAGCAGAAACCTTTTGAGCACCCCCAAAATGAGAGGTGCAGGAGAAATGGGAGCGCAGAAAGGGGCACAGTGAAGGGGCGTGCAGCTGCCCCAGCAGGGGCTGAGATCCTGGGTGCTGAGTGGCAGACCAAGTGCTACAGATTCAAAGGTAAATGCGACTCTCATCCCACAGTCCCACCAGGCGGGCATTGCAGGTGGCTTCCTGGAGGAGTCGCCAGCCAGAGCCAGGCAAAGAGACACACAGGGGCCCCTGCGGGGTGGGGTGGTGGGTGGGGGTAGCCGCAGGTGAAGCAGGGCTGAGGGAGAGAGGGCACGTGTGTTCTGAGTCAGAGCCTCAGGGCCAGGGGCCTGCAGGGCATTTTCTGGGAGCGGCTTAGGCTCAGCAGGAGTGCGGAATCGGCCTGATGGAAGAGGCTGCGATCTTAGTCAGGCGGTGGGTGACAGACACCAACTGTGTGCGTTCTTTTGGTGCAAGAAGAGGCCAGGGATACCTCTGCACAGTCCTTACAGGAAGCAGGACCCCCATTCCCCCTCTTTGGTGCAAAGGAGCGTACAGGCCAGGATGGAAGAGGTGCTGTGGCCGGAGGGTCAGGAGAGGGTTGGGTGCTCTGGGTAGCATGGGATCATGTGAGTTCTGGACACCCTGGGTGGGTCCGGTGCAGGGGACAGGCAAAGTCGAGTGGCTGAGACAGCGCTGGGGACAGAGGAAGGTGGGGACACACAGGGCGAGCTGGGCGGTGGGCCGAGGAGAAAGGAGCTTTGTGTGCAGCAGCGTCTGCTGCCAGAGCAAGTGTGGGTTTGGGGCAGCTGCGGGCCTCCCTTCCTTATATAGGCAAAGGCTCCAAATCCTCTGGCCCAGCACCTGTCAGAGAGAGGCTCCCCTGAGCTGACCTCGCCTCTGCCTCCTTGGAGGCCAGACCCCCACACACACTGAACCACGGGAACTGCGCCCCCCCCCCCCCCGTGACAGACAGGGGTGGGGGCTGCTGGATTTCGGAGGGGCAGGGCTTGTCCAACTGTTGTTAGGGGAAGGGGTGTCCCTGTGGGGGCAGTGGCCACTCCTGGCAAAGAGCTGGGCGTGTGCGGGGCAGCATCTGGCCACAGAGGAGGCCTGGGGAGGGCGGCCTCTCCCTTAGGATGGCGGGAAACGCAGTGTGATCCGCTTAACGCTGCTGCAGCTGCTTCCTAACTTTGCCTCTTTTCTTCCTTTGACTTTTGGAGGAGCGGGGTGGGGGAGAGGAGCCAGGGGTCCCAGGCCGCCAGCTGTCTTCCCACTGACCCGTATTCCCAGCCCCAACGCCAGTTCGAGGAAGTGAGGCCCGGTGGTGGCCAGCGTAACTCCCCCTTTGTCTCTCCCTCCTCCCTCGCCCGCCACTGCCTCCTCTGCCCGTCCCTGGGGTGGCTGCAGCCCAGCCCTGGGGAGCCCCTGTGGAAGTGGAGTCCTTGCTGGTCCACCCGGGTGACCTGCTGCAGCTTCGCTGTCGGCTGCGGGACGATGTGCAGAGCATCAACTGGCTGCGGGACGGGGTGCAGCTGGCAGAAAGCAACCGCACGCGCATCACGGGCGAGGAGGTGGAGGTGCGGGACTCCGTGCCCGCCGACTCCGGCCTCTACGCATGCGTGACCAGCAGCCCCTCGGGCAGCGACACCACCTACTTCTCCGTCAACGTCTCAGGTTGGTAGCAAAGCCCCGCCCTCACGCTCTCCCCGCACCTACCCCCTCCGGCCCACTGTTTCCGAGGGAGCGAGCCTCTGCCCCACGCTCTGCTTCCGATCCGCTGCCCACTAACATTGCTCCCTGCCCGCCGCGTGGCTTGGCTCTCAGAGGGATGGTCAGGTGGAGCAGGCCTCAGCCAGAGATGCCCTCGGGGCGTTAAGGCCCTGCGGTTTTGCCACCACAGCGTGGCCCAGAGCTCCATCCTGCCACTGTCAGTCGGTCCGGTGGGTCTTGGTACTCTAACAGAGGAGTTAGAGCCCCAGACATTGTGGCGGAGGTCCCTGCTGTGATGATGGGGAGAATCCGGCGGGGCTGCACCGCCTCGCCTGCCCGCCCGCAGGCTCTCCAGGAAGCAAGCGCCTGGCCTCTAGCTTTGGAGCCATGAGGGCAGCCAGGGAACCCCAGAGCTCTGTGACTTTGGGAATCTGCCAGTTTTGGAAAGCGACTGTGATTGCAGGAAGTGAGCTGAAATGTTCTAGAAGCTATTTGTGCAGCCCAGGGAGGCGGGCCGGGTGTGCAGCCCGTAAGCCTCCCCTTAGGTGTCACTTTGAACATGCCCCCATCTTCCCTCTCCCCCACCCTGAAAGTGCGGGGCAGGCTTGGGAAAAGACCTGCCTTGAACCCTGATTGGTGACCACGTGTTTGTGGAGCCTGTTCTGACAAGGGGTGGATGCTTGGTGGGCAGAGGTGTCGGCAGCTGCAGGCCGGGTGCTGGGGGCGGTGCCCAAGCCTGAGCAGGTGACACACAGGAAAAATTCGGACTGCAGGTGTCGGGACCCTGACTTTGAAACTAATTGCTGCTCTTTTTATTTAAAAACATTTGTTTATATGAAAAGCAGAGTTACAGAGAGAGAGTTAGAGACAGGCCAGAAACTCCATCCAGGTCTCCCACGTGGGTGGTAGGGGCCCAGCCCAGGCACTCAGTCCCTCTGCTGCTGCTCTTCCAGACGCATTAGCAGGGTCCTGAGTGAGAAGTGGAGCAGTCGGGACTTGAACCTGCGCTCATATGGGCTGCCAGCATCACAGGTGGCAGCTTAACCAGCTGCGCCGTGTCCGTCCCTGCAGCTAGCGTCTAGCTCCACTGTGTCTCCATCAGCCTGTGTGGCCCAGTGATTGGCAGCACAAAGAAGGACACAGGTTTCCCAGGTTGTGGTTCTGAGACCCGGGGTACTGTGAGTTAAGGGGGGAAGGGTGGAGTCCAACAAAAGAGGACCCCACTGGGGAGAGAAGGGCCAGGCACAGGAGCAGGCAGTTCTGGAACGCCGAGGGAGAGTGGCCGTGGGAATCCATATGGGAGGGCAGTCAGTGTTGGTCCGTATCGGTAGCAGTCTCAGTGGGGTGACCGCTGATAGGCATGGAGATCCAGAGCTGTGTCAGAGGGGACCTCAGTGCGCTGCTTCTTCCCGTAGATGCGCTCCCCTCGTCGGAGGACGACGACGACGATGATGACTCCTCTTCGGAGGAGAAAGAGACAGATAACACCAAACCAAACCGTATGCGTGAGACACTGTTTCCTATCTTACGGGCCTGGGAGTTTCGTTGGAGAGGGAAGGGAAAGGCTTGGCTGAAACTGGAGGAGGAGGAGGAGGAGGAGGAGGAGGAGGAGGAGGAGGAAGGAGGGGCACGTGGGGTCCTGGTGCCTGACTGCAGCCCCTGGAGTGTCCCTTGACGCTGGATGGTGGCAAACAGGTGCTGGGCAGATGGGCGAGGCAGCTCCCGCTCCTGCCTGGGCCCTTGCTCGGAACCTGACCAGCCCCCTCGTTTCTTGGCTCTCCCCGGGCAGCCGTAGCGCCGTACTGGACATCCCCTGAAAAGATGGAAAAGAAACTGCACGCCGTACCGGCTGCCAAGACCGTGAAGTTCAAGTGCCCTTCCAGCGGGACACCGAACCCCACGCTGCGCTGGCTGAAAAATGGCAAAGAGTTCAAACCTGACCACAGGATTGGAGGCTACAAGGTTAGTACACATAGATATGAAGGGAGAGGAGGAGGGATGGGACAAGGGAGTTAGAAAATCCTCCCTCATATGCCTCTGTTTTAAATAGTAGTGCTTTCTAACTAATGCATTTAAAAAGTTTTTAAACACATAGGGCTGGTGTTGTGGTGCAGCCAGTTAAGTTGCCACTCGTGATGCCAGCATTCCATATGAGAACACCTGTTCGAGTCCCAGCTGCTCCACTTCCAATTCAGTTCCCTGCTAATGTGCCTGGGAAAGCAGTGAATGATGGCACCCATATCAGAGTGCCAAGTGCTAAGCACTTGGGCCATCTTCTACTGCTTTCCCAGGCCATGGCCGAGAGCTCGATCAGAAGTGGAGCAGCCGGGACTCGAACCGGCGCCCATATGGGATTCTGGCACTGCAGGCAGTGGCTTTACCTGCTATGCTGGTAAAGCACCGGCCCCGGGCCAAACTCTTAACAGGAGCCAGGCACAGAGGCACAGGGTTGAGAATATTCCTGGTATAATTTGGGAGAGTTTGCAGAAGACAGCTTGGTTAGACCATGGCTGGCCTTGAGCACCACGGGGAAGACTTCTAAGGCTCACGCTCATCTGCCAGTTTAATGGACGTGCTCGTTTGAGTGGACCTGGGCTGAGCACCACGTACTCTGTTCCTCCTCCCAGCTACTCTGCAGTTCTGATGGGGGAGCTGAGAGAGGCAGTCCCACAGGCACCAACACGGCCCCATGGCCTCTGCCTGCATTTTCCTCCAGACCCTCAGTGGAGCCCTTTGCCTGTTCCCCACAGGTCCGCTATGCCACCTGGAGCATCATCATGGACTCCGTGGTTCCCTCCGATAAGGGCAACTACACTTGCATTGTGGAGAACGAGTACGGCAGCATCAACCACACCTACCAACTGGACGTCGTGGGTAAGAGGTGGTGGCGCAGACCTAAGGTGCTTAGGGTATGGAGCGGGCATCAGGGACTCCCGGGATGGCGTCAGGATTGCACTTGCCTTGTCACCTTGAGCGGGTCAGCTCCTCCGTTTGCACTTTACTTTTCCCTATCTGCAAACCAAAGAGCGTTAGGTGAGAATGTGTCCCAAAGCCAATGTCGCCGTGAACTGGAAAGCACTGTTGACAGTCTACCCTGAAAGACGTGACTGGTTGTTGGGCTGTTACAGGGAGTGCAGTGGTAGCTGTGGCTTGATGAAGGCTCTTGCAAATCTGCTGTCATCCCCACCAGGCAGGCACGCGCCCACTGTACCTGCTGAGGCTCAGAGGTCAGGTGCCTGTGGAATTCCAGGCCCCTGCCGGCTGCTGGATGAGCACCATGCTTCTCAGGGCTGCTCCTGCAGCCGGTCCTAGAGCAGGGGTGGGAACGTCCAGCCCGCAGGCTGTACGAGGCCCACAAAATCACCTTGTCTGGCCCTGCCAGGGCAATCCCAGACGGGACTTTGAAATTCAGTACATGTATAGCAGGCTGATTGTTAAGTTGGATCATTTTATATGGTCCACGAACGACGTTATAAATATCCAAGTGGCCCTTGGCAGAAACAGAGGCTTCCCATCCCCGTTCTGGAGGTAGAGTCCAGCACGCTGGAGATGGAGAGGCCCAGGGACTCTCCGCCAGCCTCCCATCTTGGTGCTGGCCACGTGGTCTCAGCAGGGGGATGGGGTCCAGGCTCTGAGATCCTGCCTTTCTGACTCTCTCTCTCCCAGTTGGCACTGGTGCTGCTGTCCCTGGGCCACACTTTGAACAGCAGTGGTCTCGGCAGCTCTCTGGGAAGCACGTTGTGCTGGGATCTCAGGGTGTTAAGTCCTTTAAGCTACAGGAGACTTATTACTGTGCATAAGTATGGAGCGTGGCCTCGAGGAGGAGTTCCCATGGAGCCTCGAGAGAGGACTCAGGGTGGAGGCACTGGGACCCCGCGGAGATGCAGGACATGCACTGCCCCATCCCCGGGAAAGCCGAGGGGGCACTGCAGGCCCACACGTGTCCTTTCTTCCACAGAGCGGTCGCCTCACCGGCCCATCCTGCAGGCAGGGCTGCCTGCCAACAAGACGGTGGCCCTGGGCAGCAATGTGGAGTTCATGTGTAAGGTGTACAGTGACCCTCAGCCTCACATCCAGTGGCTAAAGCACATCGAGGTCAACGGGAGTAAGATCGGCCCAGACAATCTGCCCTACGTCCAGATCTTGAAGGTAATCACCCTGTCTGCTTGGGATGGGGTGCCAGGACAGAGCCCGCCAGCTCCTGGCGGCTCAGGTTCTGTGGTCAGGCTCAGGGCCTGGGATCGGGACCCAGCCCCTTTCCCAGGAGTGGGGAGAGATGACAGAGTAGAGGTGAGCTGGGAATAGGGGGGCGGTGCTGGTTGTGAAAGCTTTGCCAGTGACTTTGCTTGGAGGGGGATGAAGGCTTTGAAAGGGCGAGACCCCACCCCCACCCCAAAGAAAGAAAGGGGAGCCCTCCAGGTGAGCGTGAGGTCCCCTGCTTTCTCACTGCCCGGGACCAAAGCCTTGGCAGCCAGCCCCTCATGGGCGCTGCCCTACTCCCCGAGCTCTGCTCTTGCTTGGAAGATGCGATGGAGGATGAGGGCACACAGCCTAAGCAGGCTTGGGAAAGCAGGTGCCGCATATAAATTCTACGCAGTGTGAGGAGTAATGGCATTTTCTTCCTTTTCCCTTTCACTCCCAGACTTTGATTGTCCCTGAATGCTCCATTAATCCAGGGAAGGTAATTGCCTAAATCTCCCGTGGATCTTGCGACAGGAAGTGGCCAGAAGCTGGGAAAGCTGTTTACCACCTTGTCCCACAGTTAGACCTCATCCTCCCCAGGCTGCCCGTCCCGAAGATTTACTAGCTGTCCCTTCTCTTGGCTACTGGTGCAGAAATTGTTCTGAAGGAAATGGGGCAGGGGCCTTGGGCTTGGCCCCGTGTCCATTTACAGTCCCTGCCCCAGTCCTGGAGGATGGATTTCACACAGACAGGACATGAGATTTGGGACAGTGGGTGTTTTTGTTTTGTTTTCTTTTCCTTTATGAAATGCTTGGGGCTTTTGATGTCAGCTTGTTCTGTTCCACTAAAACAAGGAGAGATGCAAAGTCCCTTGGACCGCGTCCCTTGCCTGGAAGGTACATGGGAGCAGAGGACGGCCAGGTGGCCACGCTTGCGCGACTGACTGGTGTGTCGTTGGTTTGTTCCAGCATTCGGGGATTAATAGCTCGGATGCAGAGGTGCTGACCTTGTTCAATGTGACAGAGGCCCAGAGCGGGCAGTATGTGTGTAAGGTTTCCAATTATATTGGTGAAGCTAACCAGTCTGCGTGGCTCACTGTCACCAGACCTGTGGCAAAAGGTAATGGGGAGACGGATGGGACCCTGTGCTGGGAATTTCATGTCGGCCCCACGCCCTGGAGCAGTGGGAAGCCAGCGCCGGACTCTCCCTCTTATCTTCTGTATCCTAGTGCCCAGAGCCATGGAAAAATACTCGGCCTGGGAGGCTGGTTTGGTTTAGTTCTGTGTTGGTGTCTGCTGGTTCCCTCTGTGCCTTATGTGTGTCCCCTGGCTGGGTGTGTGGCTGTGCGTGGACTCCTGGGGACACAGCCACGCTGTGCTATGAATGATGCTGCAGATCAGAAAAGGGGCCAGGTGTTCCCTTGCAGAGGCCCAGGTCTGCAGGCTGCGTATGTGTGTGTGTGTGTGTGCGTGCACCCTTCCATCCCTCCTGTGTGCCCCCCTCTCCACTTATCTCGACCTGAAACCAAACAGCCACCTACTGGCCGGGCCCCATTTCTCCATGCCGCCCGCTGCCCGCATGCTGGGATGGGCCAGTGGCTGCCGGCGCCTGGTGACGGGTCGTAACCAGCCGTGACCTGCTGGACTTCCTCCCCAGGGCCGCACTCTCTTCCTCTCTAACAGGTCCCGCTGCTGGTGGTTTCTATGTGTTCCTTGTTGCAAAGGAGACGCTGGGGAGCATCTCCCGCTCTGGTGGCCTCCCCTCTGCGCACTCCCCCACCCTTCCCTGTCTCGGTGCCTCCTCGAGGTCTCGCGTCCCGCGCTTGTCCATTCCGCTTCCGTTGTCTCTTCCTAGACTGCCGGAGTTAACACCACTGACAAAGAGATGGAGGTGCTTCACTTGCGGAACGTCTCCTTCGAGGACGCGGGCGAGTATACGTGCTTGGCGGGTAACTCTATCGGACTCTCCCATCACTCTGCATGGCTGACCGTTCTGGAAGGTATACACTGCACTGCTCCTCTCGCTGTCCTGCCCTCGCCATGGGCACGGGGGAGCATGCATTGTGGGGCCGGCGGGGGAGACACAGAGCCCCGGGAGAGAGAGAGCAGTGGGCTCTTGCCTGCCGCACGCCCTGTTGGCTGTGGCATTGAAGGCTCGCTATGGAGCTTTCCTGGTCTTGCGGGAACAACAGCAGCCTCCCACTGGTGCACCTGCGTCTGGCTCTGTCCCCTCCGTGGCCAATGCAATGCATGCTGGGGATCTGGATTCATTTCGGCAGCCGGGCTCTCCTGCAGGGCAGGCTTCTCCTGTCCTTGGGTCCTGCAGCCTCCCCTAGGTCCCTGGGTGTCTGAGATACCTGATTTATTTATTTATTTTATTTTTTTATTTTTTTGCACCAATCCCAAAAGTTTGAGAAAGAGCCCTGCTCTTCACACTGCATGTAGGCCCTCAGCCCAGAGGTGCTCAATGCTTGTAGGGAGCGGCACTTGTCCAGCCTGCATGCCAGGTCCTCTGGCTGGGGAGAAGCCACCTTTCTAGACAAGTGAACACGACCTGCTCTAAGTCAGGCCTGCCTCAGGCAGCCTCGGTGGGGCCATGGCAGTCCCCCTGCATCCTCTCTGGCTGCTGTCCCCGGCGGGAGGTCTGTGTCGAGCCAGGAAGGAAGAAGCCTGCAGCTGTGCAGGGTGGTGGTGACCGGAGCTGGGTGTGCTGCATCTCCGCGTGTCCCGCATGTGGGTCTGGGTGCCATCTGCTCTCCTGTCTGACTCCGCCCCCTTCTGTCCTCACCCCCCTCCACTTGAGGCACAGAAGTGTTCTCTGTTTTCATCGTCGTCCTGTCTTCGTCCCGTCTGTCTGTGCACCCCATCATTTGTCTTTTGTTTCTCGACGTTGGGGAAAGGAGTAAAACAGAAACACTTCTGTCATCAGCTCTGTCGTCTGCCGGTCAGGCCTTGAGGTCCTCAAGGGCCTGGGCCTGGGCCTCGTCCTGTGCCTCTCTCTGGGTTGGGGTGGGGATAACTCCCGCCACCTCTGTGGCTGGCTGCAGGGTTTCTGAGGGGCGGATCAGGAGGGGAGACAGCGGTGACGGGAAGAGGGGCCCCTCGCGAGGGTGGGGCTGGGATGAGAGTTCTCTCCCGGGTACAGACAGGTGGGCTGAACTGGCTTGGCTTTTGGGGGGTGGCAGTGAGTTCCAGATGGAAAGAGGGCAGGCAGAGAATAAAACAAGGCACCTGCCGCTCCCTTTTCCTTTGTGAGTGTTTGTTAGGAGGTAAAGCCCGTGAGTAGAACTCTTGTGAGAACTACACAGAAAAAACAATTCAGACACGTTGGGAAGTGGAATCCCTTTGCAAGTGGCTTGGCTAGGTGTAAATATTTACATGTCTGGTCTAGTGGAGGTGACTGACACAGGTGTCAGGACACAGGCCGGGTGCCGCCGCCCACACTCAGGTGCTGGGGCAGACACAAGTGACCAAGGCCTCGGCCCTGCCTCTGGGACCTCATCAGAAACGGTCTGTCCCCATGGGATAAGTGTCCGAGGCTCTGCAGTGACACTGAGAAAGGCATCCAGAAGTGACTTCTCAGCTGCCCCTCTCGGGATACCTGAGAGGGGATACCTGGTATCCAACCATCCCCCCAGCCGCAGCTGAGTGAGGAGGCTCCCAAATGAGAATAGATGTCTAGTGCTTAGCACTTAGGGACTTTGCATCCGGTTAAGGACGCCTCAGGGATCCCAGGATGCCTGACCCTCTCGGTGCCAGAACCCCACCCCTAGCTTACATCTTCTGAACACCCCTAAATGAGGCAGAGGAGATAGGTGTTGTTTTTCTAATGCAGTGGGGAAACCCCTTGTCAGCCTGGGGCTCCCCTGCACCTGCTAACACCCTGTTCACACCGACTCAGCCCTGGAAGAGAGACCAGCCGTGATGACATCGCCCCTGTACCTGGAGATCATCATCTATTGCACGGGGGCCTTCCTCATCTCCTGCATGGTGGGCTCCGTCATCATCTACAAGATGAAGAGTGGCACCAAGAAGAGCGACTTCCACAGCCAGATGGCCGTGCACAAGCTGGCCAAGAGCATCCCCCTGCGCAGACAGGTAACAGAAAGTAGATGGGGGATTTGCACGCTTGCGCTTTCTCTTGCTGTGCCTCCGGGGACATCCGCAGGGTCCCCCGATGCCTCAGCCTCTCCACCGTCCCTCCTCTCCCCCTTTAGGCTTTGCTTTCTGACTTCTGGGCCAGGCGTGTTAGAAGAAGGGCCTAAACCCAGTGTTCCAGAGTCAGTTTCACACTGGTCTAGCCTAGAAAATTCCCTGTACCCTCCATGCCCCTGTTGAAACGACCCTGTTCACATGCATGGGGAGAGAGTCCTGTGTGGTCTGTATGTGTAGCTGATGCCGTGCATCTGAGCACCTCCCAGGGCCAGCTGAAGGGACAGAGAAGCAGGGTAGAGAGAAGAGGACCCAAGTCAGTTCCCAGGTCTGAGTGGCGGGCACTCAGAACCCTGTGCAAACTCTGGAACTAACTTTGGGCGTTAGAAATCCATCATCCAAGGCAGGGTCTTTGCCAGGAATTGGGGCACGAATGAGAGTCATTACTGCAGTGTTGCGTTGTGGCAGGTCATGCTGGGAGAGGTGTGTGTGGTCTGCTATTTCCAAGGTGAGTGAAGCCCAACACGGCTGATCAGTGGCAGAAATAAGTCAGGATGAGAACACGGATCTCCCGGCCTCCCGCAGTCTTTCTGCGGCTCCACGTTGGGGAAGGAACCTCAGACGCAAGAGACTCAGGCTTCTGCGGCTGCATCCCGTCCCCTTGCTAGAAGGTAACCCCACTCTTCCCTATAGGTGTCGGCTGACTCCAGTGCATCCATGAATTCAGGGGTTCTTCTGGTTCGGCCCTCACGGCTCTCCTCCAGCGGGACCCCCATGTTAGCTGGGGTCTCTGAATATGAGCTGCCCGAAGACCCTCGCTGGGAGCTGCCTCGAGACAGGTGAGGACACCCCTTTGTTGTGGCTCTTAGGGTGGAGATTGTGGGTGCCAGGACCTTCCGGGGAGTCAAGGCGTGTGCAGTGCCTCCAGACAGAATCTTGTCCATTTCTTGCTTGCCTTTGGGTATCCTCTGTGTGTTTGGCATTTACCAACCCTGACTCTTGCCAATTTTTCTCCCTCCTCCCTGCCAAAGACTGGTCTTGGGCAAACCCCTGGGAGAGGGCTGCTTCGGGCAGGTGGTGTTGGCGGAGGCCATTGGGCTGGACAAGGACAAACCCAACCGTGTGACCAAAGTGGCCGTGAAGATGTTGAAGTGTGAGTGATGCTTGTGTCTCTGCGTAAAACAGCCCCTTCCCGTCTTCCGAGCAGACTGCGTGCAGCCGCCCGCCGAATCGGACCCCTCCTCTGGTGCTTTCCCTGCCCCTGCCTGCTCCGCTGCCTCTTGAGCTTACCTGGGAGTGGGAGGGGCGCTCTGCACTGCGAGAGCAGTGTCTCCTCCCTCTGTTCCTTGCACACCAGCCTGGGCTGTAGTCAGGTGTGTGTTTCAGCTTGCTCACCGTTGCCCCTGCCTCACTCACAACAGTGCTCCCATATGAGAGCAGGGAAATGAAGTGTTTGGTGGAGGAGCAGAGCGGGAGGGAGCCTCTGCACAAAGGGGTCCCTCGGACACACAGTCTGCTGGTCCCCTTGGCTTTTATCCTGCCCTGCTCCCTCCCAGAGCAAAGGAGTCTCATGCCGTTTTCTGGTTTGTGTGTAAAGCGGATGCAACAGAGAAAGATCTTTCCGATCTGATCTCAGAAATGGAGATGATGAAGATGATTGGGAAGCACAAGAACATCATCAACCTGCTGGGGGCCTGCACGCAGGACGGTAGGCACAGAGCCGGGCTGGCCCTCCCATCACCTGCAGCAGACCGACCAGGCTGGCGGGAGGGGGCTGCACTCAGAGGGGAGGGAGGGAGGCCTGTGTAGCAGTGACTGCAGAGTATCTCCTCGGGTCTGGGCTGCTGTCCATTGCTGCTCCAGGACACAGACACTGGAGTCCCACACATGATGTGTGGGCAGGAACAGGTGAGCCAGCTGTGACTTCAGCAAGGGCTGTCACCCCCCAACCCCCAGTTTTGCTCAGGAACTTTGGATTACGTTGGAAAGAATCTCTTTTTTTTTTTTTTTTTTTAAGAATAATTATTTGGTTGTTTGGGTTTTTTGTTTGTTTTAATTTTGAGGGCCAGCACTCACTGTGACATAGCAGGTAAAGTTGCCGGCTACAGTGCCGGCATCCTGCCGGTTCGAGTCCCAGCTGCTCTACTTCTAATCCAGCTCTCTGCTGTGGCCTGGGAAAGCAGTGGAAGATGGCCCAGGTCCTTGGACCTCTGCACCTGCATGGGAGACCTGGAAGAGGCTCCTGGCTCCTGGCTTCAATTGGCACAGCTCCAATTGTTGCGGCCAATTGGAGAGTGAACCAGCAGAACATTTTATTGATTGATTGATTGATTGAAAGGCTGAATTAGAGAGATCTTCTAATTACTGGTTCACTTCTCAGATGGCCAGGCCAAAGCCAGGAGCCTGGAACTCCATCTAGGTGTCCCGCGTTGGGTGGCAGGGGCCCAAGCACTTGGGCCATCCTCTGCTGCTTTCTGAGGTACATTAGGGAGCTGGATCAGAAGTGGAGCAGCTGGGACTTGAACTGATGCTCATACGGGATGCTGGTGTTGCAGGTGGCAGCTTTTAACCACATTGCGCTACAACACCAGCCCCAGGAGGAATTCTTTCCCTGACTTTCTTTGGGGAATAGAATGACTTTCCCTGGTCCCCCAAAGAGGAAGCAGGAAGGGGAGCAGATGTACGGTGTTGGGGTACCACTTCGTTGTGACACAAAACCTGCTCACCTGCCCCTGCCTTGGTGACTGCCTCCTGTGCTCCCAGGTCCCTTGTACGTCATCGTGGAGTACGCCTCCAAGGGCAACCTGCGGGAGTACCTGCAGGCCCGGCGGCCCCCGGGGCTGGAATACTGTTACAACCCCAGCCACAACCCCGAGGAGCAGCTCTCCTCCAAGGACCTGGTGTCCTGCGCCTACCAGGTGGCCCGAGGCATGGAATACCTCGCCTCCAAGAAGGTACTGACCCGAAGGACTCCCCAGGGGGAGGTCGTCCGTCGTGGGAACCGAGTCCTCCTCTGCTTCCCCAGCCTGTGTAATCTCCATTCTCCGCGCGCTGTCTTGGGCTGTCCGGGAAGTGGGGGGAGGGGCAGCACAGCAGTCAGACTCGATTTGATTCTCGTCTGTGCGGTCCCACTTTCTGCATGGCCTCAGGCAAGCCACTTAGCACAAACTGAGGCTAATACTGATGTCCGGGGGCACCATGGGACAGCGCCTGTCAGAGTTCTGGGTGGCTCTGCTGCAGGTGGGAACATGGAGCTTGGCGCACACAACCCTACAGGCAGTCACAGACATGAAGGCTCAGCCAGCTAAAACTAAGGACGCAGGGAAGTGGGTTTGCTGAGAAGCCGGGATCCGTTTCCCAGTGGTGGTGCCTCACCTGCCCGGCGCCCTGTGCTCTGTACTCTCCGCAGTGCATACACAGAGACCTGGCCGCCAGGAACGTCCTGGTGACGGAGGACAACGTGATGAAGATCGCCGACTTCGGCCTAGCACGAGACATTCACCACATCGACTACTACAAAAAGACGACCAACGTGAGTGCCCAGGCTGCCGCTGCTCCCGCCAGGCGGCTCCTCCCACTTGGCTGTTTGTTTGAATTTTTAGCCAGGGTGGACAGCTTTGGCCGAGAAGCTGGGGGGTAGTAGCATAGGCTGGGTGTGTGGCACCTGCTGAGCCACCCCTACTCTCCACCTCTCCCCTCCGTACTGCCTGCAGGGCCGGCTGCCCGTGAAGTGGATGGCGCCCGAGGCGTTGTTCGATCGGATCTACACCCATCAGAGTGATGTGTGAGTCCGGCCAGGGGACAGCGGGAGAGGGGAGTTCCAGGACCATGCCCTCCTGGCCAGCCTTTGTGGCCGGAAGCTGGAAGGCCAGCGTGGCCAACCACGGCGGCTGTTCCTCTGCTCCAGCCCCCCGGGCCCTCCCTTTTTGGGGGAAGGGAGGCCTAGGAGGGTGCACGGGAGACAGGGAAGCCTGAGCTGGCGCCAGGTGCAGTGGCCGTGTGCGCATCCGCAGGTGGTCTTTTGGGGTGCTCCTGTGGGAAATCTTCACCCTGGGCGGCTCCCCGTACCCCGGCGTGCCTGTGGAGGAGCTTTTCAAGCTGCTGAAGGAAGGCCACCGCATGGACAAGCCCAGCAACTGCACCAATGAGCTGTAAGCCGGCCTCTGAGGTCTTGGGGGAGCGGGATGCTGTGGGGCTCCTCCCCTTCCGGGGCGTGGCCATTCGAAACCCGCCCCCGGAAGGCCACCTTTCTCTCGCGCTGGTGCCCTTCCGCCCTGACTGCGCTTCCGCTCTGCTGCCGCAGGTACATGATGATGCGGGACTGCTGGCACGCAGTGCCCTCCCAGAGGCCCACCTTCAAGCAGCTGGTAGAAGACCTGGACCGCATTGTGGCCTTGACCTCCAACCAGGTATGGCTGCCCCAGGCTGGCGCACGGGGCCCGCCATGGCATGGGGACTGGGCTTGAGTTCCGGCACCTGTGTCCCGTCGCAGGAGTACCTGGACCTGTCCATGCCCCTGGACCAGTACTCGCCCAGCTTTCCCGACACCCGAAGCTCCACCTGCTCCTCGGGCGAGGACTCCGTCTTTTCTCACGAGCCGTTGCCCGAGGAGCCGTGTCTGCCCCGACGCTCGGCCCAACTTGCCAATGGCGGACTCAAACGACGCTGACCACCGCAGCCCGTCTCTCCCCGCCCAGACTCCCACGGTCAGCCGTGGCCCTTGCCCACAGCCCCTGCTGGACTCACTGCCTCTCCTCACGCCCTTTCCTGCTGGCGGGAGCCGGCTGCCCACTTGAGGCCTTCCTGCGAGGCTGCCTTCGCCGCCGCCCCCTACCCCGGGCATCCCTTAGCTTCTCCTGCTCGTGAGAGAGAGAGAGGAGCCAAGGGGCAGGTGCTCGCTGAGGGGCCGCTCCGTTCCCTCCCACGGGATGGACCAACGCTCCCCTGCCGCTTGCCGCTGCCCGGAGGGTCGGGCGCGGGGCCAAGCGGGCCGGCCAGGGACAGCTCCCTAGGCTGCTCGCTTCTGTCGGTTTGTCCGTGTCACCGGAAGCCCCACAGCCCTTTCTCGCTGGTGGCGGGGGCCTTGTCCTCAGGGCTACAGCTGCTCCGCATTAGATGGTGCCGGTGGCTTATTAATTCCAATACTAACTCGCTTTGCTGACCAAATAGCTGGCACCAGAGGAGACAGACAGGCTGGGAGCAGTTTTGTGGCCCTGGGGCCCAGCCCTGAGAAACTGGGGGCTTTGTACATAGCTATGAAGAAAACACAAAGTGTATAAATCTGAGTATATATTTACATGTCTTTTTAAAAGGGTCGTGACCAGAGATTTACCCACCGGCTAAGATGCTCCTGGCGGCTGGGAGGCATCGGTTGCTATATATTAAAAAAAAAAAAAAAAAAAAAGGCAAAAACAAAAAAAAAAGGAAAAAAAAGGAAAATGTTTTTAAAAAGGTCATATATTTTTTGCTACTTTTGCTGTTTTATTTTTTTAAATTATGTTCTAAACCTATTTTCAGTTTAGGTCCCTCAATAAAAATTGCTGCTGCTTCATTTTTATATGGGCTGTGTGAAAGGGGAGAGAGTGTCCAGTGGAGAGAAGGGACACCCGTGGGCCCAGGGCTGGGTCCAGAGGGCACCGCGTGCTCCCCAGTTTCCTTGAAACGTCTTCCTCCTGGTTCCTACACCCAGACCCCTGGTGACAAGCCTCCTACCCGTGACCACGCTTGGAAAGGCTGAGGGGCAGAAAAGCTGCACCAAGGGCAGGTGGCGCTGGGCAGAGCACCACGCCACTGCAGCCTTTACCACAGGTTGTTTCCTCAGAGGAAACGGGGCTGGGAGGGTTGCAGGAGGAGGGGGGACCTTGCCATAGCCAAGGGCTAGAGCTCAGGTGATAACAGAGGGAAAGTGGTTTATCCTCGAAAGATCTGCAGAAAACTCAAACCTAGGTCCCAGTTTCTCCCCCACCCTCTGCCCATGTGGGCGTGGCTTCATCTCTGCTGGGTCCTGGGAGGGAAAACTTGTCACCTAAAAAGCTGCTTCATTGTCTTCCCACAGATAGTTCTTCTGTGACCAGGCCACCTTGGCTGGGGCAGTCTCTGAACTTGACTTCCTGTAGCTGTTCCTGTATAAACTCCATCCCATCCCCCAGGAAAAGGGGGAAAAATTCCCTGAAAGGGTTTGGGTTTTGGCTGCTTGGAAATTTACTTCTGCCACCTGCTGGTGTCGCTTGTCCTCACCCAGCGGGTCCTGAACCCTTAATGGTTCAGGCCCCTCAGCCTTCTCAGTGCAGTCTCGTTTCTGCAAGGGAAACGGGGTCACTGCTTTAAGTTCCCTTTCTAGCTCAGTGGGTTTTTTTTTAGCAGCTGCAGTGTTGGTCCCACCATTGGGAGAATCTCATGTCTGTAAATGTTAGCATTTATGTTTAAAGAGGGCATGATTGGGTGAACAGAGCTAGGAAGTGGATTTTAGCTCTCAAAATCATTTCCCTCCAAGACCGAAGGGTGGCATGTCTCCCTTGTATGGCGGCGGTGATTTCTGCCTTGGCCCTTGGTGGTGTGAGTGCGTGGAGAACCTGCGAAGACCTGTGTGTGCTTTCAGCAGCGGCACTAGAGAAGTAGAAGGCACTGTTATTTGTGACAGTGATGTCCTTGCTGTTGCTGCTCAAGTCACCCGCAAGGATCCCCAGAGACCTGGCTGGCTGTCAGATAAAAGGTAGTGACATTGACCTGAGAGAAAATGAAATGGCCATTTTACTTAGATGACCAGATTGGGTCTCCTGGGGAAGGAATCCAGTCTGTAATGAAGACTTCTGTCAAGGCAGTGAATCTCTCTGGTTTCCTGAGGGTTAAGGCTGGGGCCTGGGATCAGCACGGCATTCATCCATTGCCGTCCCGCCTCTCCTAATTGCTGTAGGCTGGGGATCATCAGTCCCTTGGCACTGCTAATGTAATGTATTGATCGCAGGTAAGTAAGATTGAGTATCAGAAGAAGCAGAAATTTTATCTTAATGGTAATGAAGTCGCTGTGTTTGTCAGCTGCCACTGGGGGGAGCCAGCAAGCTAAATGCTCAGTCAACATCAGCTCATGGGCCAGCCTTTCAAGTCTGAGCTGCCTGCATACTAACATGTGCTGGTGGTGGATGGGAAATCTTTAAACCTAGGTTTTAGCACTAAAAGCACAGAAATCTGGTTGGGCATTAGGCATAGGAATGCAGAAGCTGCTTGGGATACCTGCATCCCACCTCGGAGGGCCTGGGTTCAAGTTTCTGCTTCCAACTCCAGCTTCCTGCTAATGGAAGGCAAGGGATGATGGCCCAAGTACTTAAGTTCACCCTCATGAGAAGCCCAGTTCTCAGCTTTGGCCCAACAATAGCTCTTGAAGGCGTTTTGGGAGTGAACCAGTCAGTGGGAGATCTGTCTCTACCTTGCAAGTGAAAAAGGATAAAGAATTCCTAAACTGCCTGGTGAGGTTATTGGCAGCTGGTCGAGCCAAGGCATCTGTGTGTCGGGCAGGGTAGAGAGCTGGGGAAGGGGAAAGCTTGGGAGCCTCCTGACAGCTTTCCACCCCTCCGCTGTGGTAAGAGCCAGGAAGAGGGTAGGCAGCAGGTCAGGGCGGATTCCCTCTAGATGGGCACCAGTGTTCGGGACCGTTTATACTGTACTGCTGCCCAGATCCAAGTCTTGACACCTCAGAGTGATGTATTTGGGGAACTTGGTGCCCAGCCAGTTCAGTGGGTTTAACTATCTACTCCAGGAGGGCCAGGGCGGGGGTGTTCTGGAGCTGGCTCTCAAGAACCGGTTGTGTGCACCTCTTCCCAGCTGCATTGTTCAGTGACTTGGTTTTGACAGCTTGACATCTCCCACGGTGGGAGGCTGTAAGTGCTACAAATCAGGCATTGCCCCACCCCACCCCGGTAACTGAGCTGGCTGTTGGTAACTTACTGGAGCCACCACCAGCTAGGTTTCAGCATGGGATTCTGTCTAATAATGGTAGAACCCAGTCACTGAGCGCCCTAGTGATAAGAGCAAAGCAACATCTGTGACTTCCTGCTGTTGCAAGAATGGGAAGAGGTGTGTCAGGCGTCTCCCATGCCAAGCTTCAGCAAAAACACAAGACCAGGGTCCCTTGACCTAACCATTCCCATTCTGCTCACAGAGTGAGCCAGAAAAAATTGCAGGACAGGCCAACAGCATGTGGAAATAACTCAGCGGAAGCAGGACTGAGCAGCTGAACTACTGATACCTTCCCCACACTTACACACCTGAAATAAACACCTAGCATCTTGAAGGTGCGGAGATTTATTGTGAGTGGCCTCGCCAGGCCGGTGGCAGGATCCATGGGGACTGGTCACCTCGAGGACTGGAGTTGTTTCGTTTGCGGGCAGGGGTGGGGATGGGAGTGGAGGAGGGGCTTGTCCCCTGATAGAGTAGTTTAGGAAGCATCCCAGAATGCACCTTTGCTAGTGACATTTCTCGTTTAGGTGATCCCAGACTGGGCAGAGTGGAGTTTTCTTTTTGGTTTAATGGGATCCCGTGTAACTGCCTTCAGTTTCACAACAAGTAAAGAAATCTAATTTCAATCGCCCACAGGCCAAAATACCTTTTCCCTTCTAACAGCTTCCCCAGGTAAGAAAAGTTCCTGGTCAGCTGCTGTCAGTATTAACAACACTAAAAGCAACTGAACGTCAGTCTGAATGGAATACTTGTTCCTGGGGAGCACAAGGATCATCTCCGGCTGTAAGAGCCCCGTGACTGACTAATAGTCTTACTTGTGAAAGACAAACCGACCAGAAACACACTCAGCACAAACAAATGGTTAAGCCTTAAACCCTTAATTATGTTCCCTACAAAATGGTGGCTAATGAAAGCCACATGTGCTGGGATAGTGGCCACCTCCCAGATTCCTGTAGCCTCTGCAGGCCCCAGAGGAAGAGGTCAGTCAGAACAGCTAAGCCATAGCCAAACCTTTTTTGACTGCCAGTCTCTTAACTCCTCATTTTCTCCTCTAAGAAGTGAGCCCTTTCTTTCCAGAGAGACTTCCTGGGGAGTTGAATTGTCCTGTTTCAGAAGGCACTTCTGTTTTCAAAGCCACTGTCATGTATGTGGCATTCTGGAATAGTTGGCCAGGTGCTCTTAAAATGGGGTTTGGAGCTTCCTGAGTTCTTAACTTGGATTCCAGGCCATGGGAAGCAGAGGTATGTTAAGGTGCCAGGCCGAGTCCATTATGCAAACCATTTCCCCTCACGGGCATGCACAGATGTGCACTATTTGCAGACCGCACAGTGGGGGTGTGGGTGGGTGGAGGGGTTCACACGGTCTGGTGGGATCCCCGGTGGTACAGAGGAGATGAACTTGGCAGTCCTATCCATCCACATGCTCTCAACCTAGTCTTGCTGCCAACATCATCGGGAATGGTTATGAGGCCACCAAGGACTGAACCCCTCTGTCTCCAGTCACACACAGTCAGTCGTAGCTGGGAGGTCCCGGATGGGTGCCGCTGCTGAGGGCTGGAAGCTGGAGAGAGTGAGCTTGGTCCTCACGGCGTCCTTAGGCTCCCTTTGAACTAGCCTTGCTGTTCTGGGATGTCTTCTGTGATTTGGCTTGGAGTGTCTAGGAATAAAACATAAGGACTCCCAGGCATGGGTTACAGCTATGGGGGGAAAGTTCTGGAGGAAGAAACCCTCTTTCATTATAATCAAAACAGCGGCAGACCACAGAAGTCAAGTCAGTCGCTGATTTACCTTGGTGATGAAGATAGGCCCAAACAAGGTCCCTTGCCTCGCTGTGTTCTGGAGGCCGAGCCCAGCGTGCGCTCGGTGCTCACGGTGGTGCTTACGGTCGCAATCTACCAACAGTGCCTTTGCGCCTCAGGAGCTGCTCGGTGACTCAACTCTCCCGGGGCCTCCCCACTGTTTACTTGTGTCATGCTTTCCGCTCTAGCCCCAGATTTCTTCACCCAAGCAGGCAGAGTGGATACATAAGTAATATCTTATCTACACACATTTCTCCTAAAATTTGAATTGCCTTTCTGCTAGTGTTCCCTGACATCAGGAGCCTGTGTAAGTCACAGCATATGGAAACGATTTCCATCTGGTACGTAAGGAAATCGGGACCTGCCTATACTGTAATTAGCTTTTAGATTTAAGATGTTTAGGTCTGCTTCACCACTTGCATTGGTTGATAATTTTTCTGTTTTTCACTCTAGGATAATTGAAGTTAAAAAAAAATACAGTGGTTACAAGATGACTATAGTTCAGCCTACAGCTTCCTGTTTGGACAACAGGAAAAATCTTGCTGGGTTTTGCAATAGTTAGAGTTCTAGATTCTTACTGCCATTAAAGATAAATTATAGGAAGAGGGATTTCTTCTTTTAGACACTTACAGCTTCTTTAGAAGAACTGATGGGTCCTTCAGGTAATGGAATAGGTGTTGACGGTTTGATAGGTGGTGGTGATACCGGTGGTGGCACTTGTCTGAGTTCTTCATCCTTAAACATCAGAAGTGAGTGGGAGAGCGCTGTGACTACTGGGAACTTGTAACAGCTATTTTCATATTCTGGTACAGGAGTCAAGAGGGTGGGGAAGCTAGTCACCCATAGCCAGATGCTGGAAGTTCTTAGAAATAGGTCAAACAGTACAGTGAGTATTTCTCATTGAGGAACACTACCATATTGAAATTTGGTTTTGTCAAAGGGATTAAAAATAGAGGAAATTAGCACACTGTTATTTTCACTTTATGTCCTCATCAAATGCAAAGTAGCTGGGCTAACCTTAGTGCCCTTTAGCTGAGAGGCAGGGTCCACCATGTTCTCTTTTGACTCAGAGGAAGCAGGCGATGCCGTAGGAACATCTGTCTTTGGAGCCTTGGGAGAGAAATACCTTATATAAGCATCATCTTTCTGCTCTCCCTGAAATGCGGAAGCTCTTTTGCAGTAGTCAAGGCCTTTTAACACAATTTGCCTTCCACCAAATCTCCCAACTTCCTCCTCTGACTACACCCTTCATGAGTAACAAATGAAATATGTCCCTGAAATAACAACTTAGCATTATTCTTCTTTGAGTTTTGAGTACTCTATATTCCAAAGTTAAATCCTAATTAGATTCCAGTGTTTAAAATCCTCAGTCATTAACAAGCTACTGACTGCCAATTCTGGTCCTATTCTTCCTCCAAAAAATATATAAATAAAATAAGTTGCCATTTGTCCATCATTCATCGGTTTGTAATAATCTTGGTGTAACTTGTCAAAATTGATTTCTATTTTTAGTATCTAATAATAAATTAGAAATTTGTCTTATTTACTTAACAGGTAGCCAGTCACCTAAAAGAGGCTGTCAACTGGTATGTTCAGTTTGATGTCTAAATTCTTTACACAGTCCAGCATGCTACAGGCTTTTATTTTGCATGTGGGACTGGCATCCCTAGCAGGGTACCAGTTCCCTTGGAGCTGGGAGTCTGATCAGCAAGGACCCAGATGATGCCTGCTTTTTTGGAACATGGCCTTTCCTCCAAAACTTCTCACAGTGTCCCTAAAATCCACCCAGGACAAAGCCTCCTCTACTCAGCTTACTCTCTGAGAACAGGGAAAGAGAAAGCAAGGTGGGCTTTCCTGAAGTAACTTTTTTCATGCTGGACTTCAAATAGTTCCCCTTGGCTTGTCCTAGGAGTCAACAACATAACTAAGACCACAAATGATTGGCCCTCATTCCAGGTATGTAGATGAATGAGCTGAACCACATGGGCAACATCTTCTACAATGGCCTTTCCTTCCTTGCACAGAGGTACCAGGTCAAATGGAAGTTTATTTGAAAGGCAGAGTGAGGGAGAGAACAGAGAGGTCTTCCATACACTGGTTCAGTCCCCAGACGCCCACAGTGGCTGGGGCTGGGTTTAAAGCCAGGGGGCAGAAACTCCATCCTGGTTTCTCACATGAGTAGCAGGGACCCAAGAACTTGAATGGTCACGTGCTGCTGAGAGGCCATTTCTGATGAGCCCATGCCAAGATACTCTAGTGCTTGGGTCAGTCCTAGGTTCTTCAGTGAAATACCAGGAGGAAAAAAGTTGCTGAGATACAGGCAAAAAATGATGAAGGAAATGAGTTAAAGGAAGACAGAAACTTTACATTCTAGTTTAGTCATCCACTGCTTAAAAACAGGAGTCTGGGGGCAGACTGGCACAGGGGTTAGGATGCCACTCTGGACATCACATCCCACGACTAGATGCTTTGAGTTTCCACTCCACTTCCAATTCCTGCTGCTTACTAATGCACACCCTGGGAAGTAACAGACAGCTCAAATGCTTGGGTCCCTGCTACCCACACAGGGGATACAGATCGACGCCTGGGCTCCTGGCTTCAGCCTCGCTCAGCCCAGGATGTGGGCGTTTTGAGAGTGAACCAACAGATGGACGATCTTTATGTGTCTGTCTCTGCCTCTCAAATAATATAAAAAATATTTTAAAAATAGGAATCTGGGCAAAAGAAATAGATACAAAAGAACAAGAACCATTGAGTTTAAAAGGAACAAGAGCAGCAAGTGTCTGCTAACGAAGAACAGGTGATGAAGAAAAAAGAACCAGCATTGTGGAGTAGTGGGCAAAGCCATGGCCTGCGACGCCAGCATCCTGTATGGGCACTGGTTGAGTCCTGGCTGCTCTACTTCCAATCCAGCTCCCTGCTAACGGCCTGGAAAAGCAGCAGAAGATGGTTCAAGTGTTTGGGCTCCTGCATCCATGTGGGAGACCTGAATGAAGCTCCTGTCTCTTGGCTCCCACCTGCCTCAGCCCTGGCCACTGCAGCCATCTAGGGAGCAGACCAGCAGATGGAAGATTCTCTCTCCCTCTCCCTCTCCCTCTCCCTCTCCCTCCCTCCCTCCCTCTCCCCCCCTCATCCCTCCCTCCCTCCACCCCATCTTTCCCCCTCTTTCTAACTTCAAATAAAATAAATCTTTTTTAAAAAAGATAGCAGCACTATGGCTAGAGGTGGTGTAAGTGGCTTTCATTGTCTCAAGAATTTTTAAAAGACTTTAAAGCCAGTTGGGTCAACCTGCAAAAGCAGCACCTGCTGTGGCTCTAAGGAGAACATTGTGGAGAGGCCCAGTTTTGGTGGAATCTGGACTCTCTGAATCCAGTGACTCACCTCCCCACTTTGCGGTATCTCAATTGGCTTCGGCTTCACATCTATCAGGTAGAAGGTGCGGGACAGGAGCAATAGAGAAGGAGGGACATTCTCCTTCAGGTGGAGATCCAGCCACTGGAGAAGGAGGGGGATAAACAATGATCAACTCTCAGAATGACAGAGCCACAAATGGCCCCGGCCAGCAACTCCCCTCTGCCCCCGCTCATGCTGACACCCCAAGGTGGGATGGAGATAAGGACGCCAGCCTCCCGACTTTTGATCTGGGTTCCATGTGTTTCCCTTGCACTGCCCACCCTCTGACATGTGGTCACTCTCAGATTGGGGAGGGAGAGTTCCACTGAACTCAGCCCAGCTGTGCATCGCAGCAGCTAAGTGTTCCCTTAGACAAAAAATAACATGAGAGAATAGTCAACCTCATCATATTGGCCAAGCTTTCTCTTATGTGAAAGATTTTTTTTTTTTTTTTTTTGACAGGCAGAGTGGACAGTGAGAGAGAGAGACAGAGAGAAAGGTCTTCCTTTGCCGTTGGTTCACCCTCCAATGGCCACCACTGCAGCCGGCGCACCGCGCTGATCCGATGGCAGGAGCCAGGAGCCAGGTGCTTTTCCTGGTCTCCCATGGGGTGCAGGGCCCAAGCACCTGGGCCATCCTCCACTGCACTCCCTGGCCATAGCAGAGAGCTGGCCTGGAAGAGGGGCAACCGGGACAGAATCCGGCGCCCCAACCGGGACTAGAACCCGGTGTGCCGGCGCCGCAAGGTGGAGGATTAGCCTATTGAGCCACGGCGCCGGCTGAAAGATTTTATTTAGAGGTCCAAATGCTTGGGCCCTTGCACCCACATGGGAGACCAGGAAGAAGCTCTTGGCTCCTGGCTTCAGATTGGCCCAGTTCCGGCCGTGGTGGCCATTTGAGGGGTGAACCAATGGAAGGAAGACCTTTCTCTCTCTCTCTCTCTCTCTCTCTCTCTCTCTCTCTCTCTCTCTCTCTCTCTCTGTGTGTGTGTGTGTGTGTGTAACTCTACCTGCCAAATAAATAAATAGATTTTATTTATTTGAAAGAGTTACAGAGAGAGGCAGTGATGGAGAGAGGTCTTCCATCCGCTGGTTCACTCCCCAAATAGAACAGCCAGAGCTCAGCTGATCCAAAGCCAGGAGCCAGGATTTTCTTCCTGCTCGTGAGTGCAGAGGCCCAAGGACTTGGACCATCTGCTGCTGCTGCTGGATTGGAAGTGGGGCAAGGGGGATGCAAACTGGCGCCCATATGGGATGTGGTCACTTTAGGTAGTGGCTTTACCCACTATGCCACAGCATCAGCCCCCGGCCAAGCTTTTTAAAAAACATTCTGAATCAATAATGCACACATGAGACAAAATTCAAAATGTAAATGTATTTGATAAAAATAAGTCTGCCTTCTCTTCCTGTTCTCCAGCTACCCTCTTGCCTAGATGTAACCACCAGTTCCTTGTATAATCTTCCAGAGATATCCTATACATACATATGTGTGTGTTATCTTTACACAAAGGATGACATAAGGGTAGGCAAGCATTTTGCCTTTTTGCCTTTTTTTTTTTCCACTGAAGTATCTTGGACACTGATTCACATCAGAAGATGTAGATCTATCCCTTTTTAAGTATCTATAAAGAATATTGGGACTGGCATTGTGGCATAGCAGATTAAGCTTCTGTCTGCCATGCTGGCATTCCATATGGGCACTGATTCAAGTCCCACCTGCTCCGCTTCCAATGCAGCTCCTTGCTGATGTGCCTGGGAAAGCAGGGGAAGATGGCCTAAGCACTCAGGCCCCTGCATCCACATGGGAGACTCAGAAGAAGCTCTGGGCTCCAGTGCCGGCACCCCATATGGGTGCTGGTTCGAGTCCCAGCTGCTCCACTTCTGATCCAGCTCTCTGCTATGGCCTGGGAAAGCAGTAGAAAATGTCCCAAGTTCTTGGGCCCTGCACCTGTGTGAGAGACCCAGAAGAAGTTCCTGGCTCCTGGCTTTGAATGGGCCTAGCTCTGTCCATTGCAGCCATTTGGGGGAGTGAACTAGAGGATGGAAGACTCTCTCTCTCTCTCTCTCTCTCTCTCTCTCTCTGCCTCTCTGCCTCTCTGCCTCTTCCTCTCTCTGTAACTCTGCCTTTCAAATAAATGAATAAATAATTTTTTTAAAGTTACTATAAGATTCCATAGCCTTCCCTGGTGTGCCTATGCCTTCTCCAGTTACTCAAGCACTCTTCTGGGCACTTTAATGAAGGGATTTTGCAGACAGAATCAGGGTTCCAAGTCAGTTGACCCCTTTTTTTTTTTTATTTATTTTATGTATTTGAAAGACAGAGTTACAGAGAGGAAGAGCACAGAGAAGCAGAGGCAGAGAGAGAGAGGTCTTTCACCCACTGGTTCACTTCCAAGATGCTGCAATGGCCAGGGCTGGGCTGATCCGGAGCCAGGAGCCAGGAGCTTCTTCCAGGTCTCACACACAGGTGCAGGGGCCCAAGGGCTTGGGCCATCTGCTTTCCCAGGCGATAGCAGAAAATTGGATAGGAAGTGGAGCAGCTGGGTCTCGAATCAATGCCCAAATGGGATGCCGGCACTGCAGGCAGCAGCTTTACCTGCTATGCCACAGCGTTGGCCCTGTCAATTGACCTCAAGACAAGGAAGTTATCTGGGTGGACCTTTATCACAAGAGACTTTTAAATCGGGCTAGCTAGAGGTCAAAAGGGAAGTTGGGTTTGAAGCTGGAAATTTGGCATTTGCTGGCTTTGCAAACGAAGAGGGCCAAGAGGTAAGGAAAACAGGTGGCCTCTAGGAGCTGACAGTAGCCAGGACCTGGTAGCCAGTGAGGAAATAAGGACCTCAGACCTACAGCTGCAAGGAGCTAAGTTCAACAAAGGGCAGAGCTTGGAGGCAGGTCCTTTACCCACAGGCCTCCGGGAAGGAATGTAGTCCATACTTCTGACCTGTGGAACTGAGAGCTGAGAAGTGGGTGTTGTTTTAAACCTCTAAGGGTATGGTACTTTGTAACCCATCAGTGGAACACGAGTGTGGTACCCTGTCCCTGAGTGAAAGACAAACCCAGCTTCTTCAGTGCCCCAGTGCTCAATGAAGCAAGACGGAGGAGGTAACACAGTTCACCTGCAAGGCAGGAACCACACAGCGAGGTCTGCAAAATGAGGGCACAGGGCTCTGGTGCAGAGAGCACGGCGACTTGCCTCCGCGAGCTGTTGTCTCAGCTGCTCCTCCGTGAGACCCAGAGATATCATCCCTCGAGCCCTGCAGGCGGCTTGTAGTTCTGACACACTCAGAGTTCCCAAGCCTTCTTTGGCAATTATCTGAAGGAAAAAAAGAAAGAAAAGAAATGCAAGGAACTGTGCCGGATCTTCCGATTCCAGTTTCACCTAATCTCTACATTCCAGCAAATCTGTCAAACACAGAATCTGACACTTTGATACTGTGTCCCTTTCACTGGCTCCTGCAAAGGCCAGGAGCCCCCCCCCCCCCAAAAAAAAAAAAAAAAAACAACGAAGAAGGTGACAGTGAGATGGGGGAGAATCCTGCCAAGAGGTATTAATAACATATTTACATAACTTCTCCCCAACATTCTGTCAGCAAAGTGATTATTTCCCTCTTGATGTGCGGCTTTTCCAAGTTGTGACATCTCCACTCCTTTTCCCTTTCATGGCAGTTCAAGGGTTATTAGGAAAAATATTTCACTTGAAAAGCTTTCAATGGGCCATTTGTTGCATGTCCCAGTGGGGCTCTTCCCATTTCCCCTCCCCTCCAGCTGCCCCCCCCAAGCCCCCAGAAATGGCCCTAACTCCTTGGCCCACAAATGGCTTTAACTCCTTGGCCCACAAAACTCCTTCGATAAATAACACAGTTTCTCTTTGGTGTGACCCAAAACCATGGCACTCCTGGGACTAGTGTTTATTCCCAAATTCTGCAGGCTAAGCCGGCCAAGGGGCTCAGGCTTTCTGCGTGTTCTGGGAAACCTGCTCCCTGGGCAGAAGGCCTGCTAGCAGCTGATTCAGATTCAGGGGGCATTCTTTCCATTTTTAAAAGGAGTCCAATTAGTAGTTATGGTCCAAATGGTGCCTTTATTCCCCAAGCCGTCTAGGCTCCGCATTGTGCTTTGCCCCTTCTCACCAGGCCAGCTCACTCAGCAAAATATTTACTTTGGCACCAGCTCCTCAGCAGGGGAGCAGAGGTGTGGGGGTAGAGCCTTGTAAGAAATCCGTGGAGCTGCTATTTCCTTCCCAGCAGGTCCTAACTGCTTTAGTTTAGGCCCAGCTAAGACATCCAAATGACTGCTTATGATGGTGTTCTCACTTGCAAACGGGTCAGGGTACCACAAACAAGCCCCCAAAGGAGCAGTCTAGGTTCAAGTTGTCATGGTAATGGTTTTTGAGAGCCAGAACAGGTCATGACCAGACCCCACAGAAAACACTTCAACACGGACCCATCCCCAGATCTCTGCCGATGCCTCGCTAGTCCCCTGCAGTGACGGCGGCGGAGCTCTTACTTCATCATCTGCTTTTATAGACTTCAGGGTCATCAGCAGCTGAAAGCGGAGCAAGTTGTTGGTTCCAAAGGTCTGCAGCTCCAGCAGTTTGCACAGGGCGACCAGCTGGGGTCGGTCCAAGTGCACCAGGGCGAGCTGGTCCTCAAAGAGTTTGGAAAAGCGAACTATCTCCTTAGTGCTGGGCTTGTGGCCCGTCTGGACCTAGGCAGTAGGCAAAGAGGCTAATGAAGGCGTGTCTCTTACTTTACTTGGCCTTCCTGGTAGACTGTCTGCAAGAAACATCAAATCACGAGTGGACTTGGGGCCAGCGTTGTGGTGCAGTGGGCTAAGCCCTCACTTGCAATACTGGCATCCCATATCTGAGTGCCGCTTGCTTCCGGTCCAACTTCTTGCTAATTGCCTGGGAAGGTAGCATTTGATGGCCCAAGCGCTCAGGAGACCAGGATGGAGTTCCTGACCCTAGCTTTGACTTGACCCAGCCCCGGTTGCTGCAGGCATTTGGGGAATGAACCAGCATGAAAGATCTCTCTTTTTCTCTCACTCTCATTCTCCTTCACCATCTCTCTGCCTTTCAAATAATTTTTTTAATTTTTTTAAAAGCATATGTGGACTCTACAAGTATCTGATATCTAGAAATGGATCCTAAGTACAAAGAATAAATAAATATGCCTGAAATCAAACTAAAAATTAGTAGTAGTCCAGCAGTTTGGTGCTAATTCCATTGTTCTTTCCAAGAAGTTATCATCTTCAATACATTGATTATTTTAAGGCTTTTCTGCAAACTACTATAAATGTTTACATACTGTATGCTGATGACTACATATTTGTGGTTTCAAAGACTGTGAACAATTTGGAAAGTCGATGATAACATGCATTTTTCACGTAACTCCCAGCCTGAAAGACATGGTATTATATAAAAGGCTGACACCTGTTTCACATAGGATGAGAGCTGTGTGGAGGCATCTCCCAACTGGGCTCTGTTCCTCCTTGCCATTTCCGTGATTGTTTCTTGAAGAAATTTTGCTAGTTCCAGTTTTGCAGCCATTTTCTTTCTCTGTTTTTCTTCCTTAATAGAAAGGGAAACAAAATCAATAAAACCTTCATGATTGCAACTTGGTAGACAAAGATGAGAATGGGGTCAGCGTTGTGGCTCAGCTGGTTAAGCTGCTTGTAACGCTGGCATTCCACATCGAGCACCTGTTCAAGTCCCAGTTGCTCTGCTTCCAACCAAGCTCCCTGTCAATGTGCCTGAGAAAGCAGGAGATGGCCCAAGTACTTGGATGGAGTTTCTGGCTCCTGTGTTCAGTCTGGCCCAGCCCTGGCCTTTGCAGCCATTGGGGAAGTGAACCTCTCTCTCTCTCTTTCACACTCTCTCAATCTGCTTTTCAAATAAATAAATAAATCTTGAAAAAGATCAGAATGACTATTACCTCACTATTGCTTATCCCTATATCATGTATTATTTTCATGCCCAATTGAATGAGTTATGTGAGAACTGGAGCAAATAAAAAGTAGTCTCTATGAGGAATTTTTGTCACCTTAATCATACCTTTTATTTTTCACTAATACATTGATCATAGGCATTTGGTGCATACAAAATGTCCTCTAAATGAGTGGGTTTGTGATTATTTAGAATGAGACAACCTGGTACAAACCATTTCGGCTGCTAGTCAAGTCAAACTGGTCTGAGTGGCCTTGGATTTTGCTTTACAAAGAAAACTAGGAAATTATGCTAACGTAACATGCAGTTTAAATAGAAAACAGATGTAATTAATGATAATACAGTGAGTTAAACGTTATAACAGATATGAACAAAGCACTACACAGAAGACAGATGCACACTCTCAAAACACTATATTGACTAGTATTCCTTCATCCTCGTTCATCATCAGAAACAGTGTGGGACCATTTTCAGAATAACCGTGGGCTTGAGATGGTGCTGTGGCACAGTCAATTGAGCCACTGCTTGGGATGCCCACGTTCATCTCTGAAATGCTGACTCAAGTCCCAGCTACTCTGCTTCTGATCCAGCTTCCTGTAATGCACCTGGGAGGCAGACAGAGGGTCAAGGGTGTGGGCCCCGGCCATCTACAAGGGAGACTCAGATGGAGTTTCAGGAGGTTAGGGTTAGGGTTAGGGTTAGGCCTAGGCCTAGGCCTGGCCCAGCCCTGGCTGCTAGAGCATTTGAGGAGTGAGTCAGAAAACAAGCTCGCTCGCTCTCTCTCTCCCCTTCACTCCCTCCCTCCGTGTGTGTATACGTGTGTATGTCTTTCAAGTAGATGAAAATAAGTAAAAATAAATAAGTAAACATTGAAAAGAATGGTCCAGACTTCAGGAGGGTAGAGAGGAACCAAACCATGTCTTTCAAATAAATAAAAAAATAATTCTTAAAAAAAAGATTTATGTATTTATTTGAAAATCATAGTCACGCAGGGAGAAAGAGAGAGAGAGAGAGAGATAGTGAGGTCTTCCATTTGCTGGTTCATTCCCCAATTGGCCGCAACAGTTAAAGCTGCGCCAATCCGAAGCCAGGAGCCAGGAGCTTCTTCCGGGTCTCCCACATGGGTGCAGGGGCCCAAGGACTTGGGCCATCTTCTATTGCTTTCCCAGGCCATAGCAGAGAGCTGGATGGGAAGTGGAGCAGCCAGGACTTGAACCGGTGCCCATATGAGATGCCAGCACTGTAAGTGGCGGCTTGACCTGCCACACCACAGTGCCGGGCCCCTCATATGGTATTAATTCCAGATTCTGATGACTTTAAATTGAAGTAAATGAACCACTGTCAGAGAGTTGAATATTTTTATCTTTAATGTATTGTAATGTAACCCTTTAAAAGTATCTCAGCTCTGTCCTCAAGTCTGTATTGCTATTGTCAGTGTCATCATGGAGGCTCTGTGGTTTCTCCTGTGGACTATTAAAGCTGCTTTCAAGTTGCCTTCCCTCCTGTGGCTCAGGCCTCCTCCGTGCTTCCTGCCAGCAAAAGGATTTTTCTAGAACACAGATACAGTTATCACCCACCCTTGCTGAAAATTTCATCTTCTGGGGCCACCATGTGGCACAGTGGGTTAAGCCACTGCCTGTGATGCCAGCATCCCATATGGGTACTGGTTCAAGATCTCCACTTGTGATCCAGCTCCCTGCTAATGCGTCCAGGAAAGCAGAAGATAGCCCAAAGTGCTTGGACCCCTGTATACATGTGGGAGACCCAGATGGAGTTCCTGAGTTCCTGGATTTGTCCCAGCCCATCTGGCCATTTCAGCCTTTCATAGGGTGAGCCAGTAGATGGAAGATTCTCTCTCTCTCTCTCTCTCTGTGTATATATATATATATTAATCTATTTGAAAGGCAGAGTTACAGAGAAAGGAAGAGAGACAAAGAGAATCTTCCATCCACTGGTTTATTCTCCAGATGACTGCAATGGCCAGGGCTGGACCAGGCCAAAGCCAGGAGCCAGGAGCTTCTTCCAGGTTTCCCACGTGGGTGCAGGGGCCCAAGCACTTAAGCCATCTTTTGCTGCTTTCCCAGGTGCATTAGCAGGAAGCTGATCCAAGCAGAGCATCTGGGACTCGAACAGGCACCCATATGGGATGCTGGCATTGCAGGTGGAGGCTTAACCTGCTATATCACAGCGCTGGCCCCAAGAAATAGTCTTTCCAACGAAGTGGTGAGCGTTGTGGTCCTGTGAGTTAAACTGCTGCTTGCAACACTGGCAGCTCAGTCTGGATCGCCTGTTCCAGTTCCAGCTGCTCTGCTTCTGATCAGCCCCCTGCTAATGTGTCTGGGGAGGCAGTGATGGATGGCCCAAGTGCTTGGGCCCTGCACCCACCTGGTAGACCGGGATGGAATTATTGGCTGTAGCCTGGCCTAGCCCTGGCTGTTGCGGCCATTTGCGGAGGGAACCAATGGATGAGAGAAGGCTCTCTGTCTTTCCCTCTCTGTGTCACTATGCCTTTCAGATATAACACATACATATTAGATAAGTGGTACTGGGAAAACTGGATCCACACACACAAAATCTAGATCTCAACATTACACTTGTCACATAAATTAATTCTATATGCATCACAGACCTAAATAGAAACTATAAAACTCTTGGAGACAACAAGAGAAAAGGGCAAGCACTGTGGAATAGCTGGTTACGCCACCACTTACGATGCCTACATCCCGTATTGGAATGCCTGGGATTGAGCCCCTTCTCTGCTTCTGACGTAGCATTTGTGCTAATGCACACTCTGGGAAGCAGCCGATGATGTCTCAGGTACTTGGGTCCCTGCCATCCACACAAGGAGAACCCATGGAGTTCCTACCTGGCCCAGCTGTGGCTACTGCAGGCATTTGGGGAATGAACCAGCACATGGAAGAATCACAAGAATCACACACACACACACACTCTCTCTCACAAACACACACACACAAGAAAAATTAATAACCTCAAAAAGAAAAACCAGAGAACGCTCTAGGTGACCTTGGGTTTGGCAATGAGGTTTTAGCCACAACACGAAAAGCATATCTGAAAGAAAGCTGTAAGCTGAACTATGTATTGCTCTGTGAAAGACATTGTAAAGGAATGAAAAGCTAAACCACAGACTACGACAAAATATTGGCAAAGTACATATCTAATAGAGAGCTTTTATTCAAAACATGTAATGCACTCAAAACCACCCAATTAAAAAGTAGGCAGGGACAGGCATTGTGGTGCAGTGGGTTCAACCACTGCTAGGGACACCTGCAGCCCATAGCTGAGTGCCTGGGGCCTAGTCCCACCTCTGCCTTCTGACCCACCTTTAACCATATAAAATTGCTACAAAAAATAGCAAAATATCTAACCAGGCACCAAAGAAGATACACAGATGGCAAGCTGAGTATCATATGCCATTACGGAATTGCAAATTGAAATGAGACCCCACTACACACCTACTAGAATGGTCTATATCCAAAACACAGACAACAAGTACGAAATGCTAGACCAGGCACACTCATTCTTAAGTGGTAGCAGTGCAGAATGGTACTGCTACTTTGAAGACAGTTTAGCAATTTATTGTACAACTACACACAGCCTTACTATATGATCAAGCAATTATTCTCCTAGGGATCTACCCAAATGAGTTGAAAGCCCATATCCATAGAAAGACATGGACATAAATGTTTATAGCGGTTTTCTTTATAATTAACAAAAACTGGAGGAAACTGAAATGTCCTTCATTAGGTAAATGAATAAAAAATGTAATAGAGGAGCAGGCATTTGGTGTAGTGGTTAAGATTCTGGTTGATACTCCCGCAAACCATATCAGAGTGCCTGGGTTCAAGTCCTGCCTCTGCTTCTGATCCAGCTTCCTGCTAATGCAGACCCTGGGAGGCAGCAGATGATGGCTCAAGTTCTTGGGTCCCTGCCACCCACTGGGGAGATCCAGATGGAGTTCCTGGCTGTTGTCCTAGCCCCACCTTGGCTGTTGCAAGCAGATAGAAATCTGTCTATTTCTGTCTCTGCTTTTCAAGTAAAATGAAATAAATTAAACAACAACAACTGTAGTATGTCCATACAATGGACTGTTAGTGATAAAAAGAAATGATCCATGAAAAGACAAGGGAAAAATCTTTTTTAAAAGAGTTATTTTAAAAGGTAGAGTGACAGAGAGTGAGGGAAAGAAAGAGACAGATCTTCCATCTACTGGTTTACTCTCCAGATTCCTGCAGCACTCGGCTGGGACAGGCCAAAGCCAGGGGTCAGGAACTCCATGCTGTTCTCCATATGGGTGGCAGGGACCCAAGCACGTAGGCTATCACCTGCTGCCTTCCCAGCTACATTAGCAGGAAGCTGAGTTGGAAGTAGAGCAGCTGGGGCTTGCAGTGGCCCTCTGATACGGGATGCGGACACACTCCAAGCGGTAGTTTATGCCACAACATTAACCTCAAGGAGAAACTTTAAATGCATGTGCTAACTCAAAGATGCCTATTTGAAAAAGCTGCACACTATGATAGCCTGGAAAAGACAGACCTTAGAGGTAGAAAAAAGATCAGGGGTTGTTGTGGGCTGGGGGAGGAGCAGGGGAGGGGCCAAGAGGTGGACCTCCAGAGATTTTCTAGTGCAGCAAAGCTATTTCGTATGACATTGTGTTGGTGGGTACATAACATTATGCATTTGTAAAATCCACAGACTTGGGCCGGCACTGTGGCATAGTGGGTATAGCCACTGCCTGCAGTGCCGGCATCCCATACGGGTGCCAGTTCAAGTCCCGGCTGCTCCAGTTCTGATCCAGCTCTCTGCTATGGCCTGGGAAAGCAGTAGAAGATGGCCCAAGTCCTTGGTCCCCTGCACCTGTGTGGGAGATCCAGAAAGAAGCTCCTGGCTCCTGGCTTCAGATCAGCACAGCTCCAGCCGTTGCGGCCATCTGGGGAGTGAACCAGAGGATGGAAGACCTCTCTCTCTCTCTCTCTCTCTCTTTCGCTGCCTCTCTGTAACTCTGCCTTTTAAATAAGTAAATCTTTTATTTTATTTATTTATTTGACAGGTAGAGTTGTAGACAGTGAGAAAGACCGAGAGAAAGGTCTTCCTTCCCTTGGTTCACTCACCAAATGGCTGCTACAGTCGGTGCTGCGCCGATCCGAAGCCAGGAGCCAGGTGCCTCTTCCTGGTCTCCCATGCGGGTGAAGGGGCCCAAGCACCCGGGCCATCCTCCACTGCCCTCCCAGGCCACAGCAGAGAGCTGGACTGGAAGAGGAGCAACTGGGACTAGAACCCGGCGCCCATATGGGATGCTGGCGCCACAGGTGGAGGATTAACCAAGTGAGCCACGGCGCCGGCCCGAAATAAATCTTTTTTTTTTTTTTTTAATCTACAGACATGTACAACACAGAGTGAACTCCAGTGTCAAGTAGGTATGAGCTTTAATTAATAATGTGTCAACACTGGTTCTTCAGTTCTAACAAACATACCCCACAGGAACGCAGGGATTAATAATACGGGAGGAAAGGCATATGGGAACTCTGTACCTTCGGCCCAGTTTTTCCCTAAACCTAAAAATTGTTCTCAAAATAAAGTCCATTATTTTGTTTTAAGAAAAAAAAGGTTTAGAAAACTCCCACATACCTTTTTGGATTCACTTTCAAAAGTTGATGGCAACATTTCTGGGAAGAGTTTCAGAAACACTGGTAGTAAGAATTCCATGAAGGGTACAATTATGAACACCATAAATGGAACCAGACGGAAGAAATCAGCACAAGTTCTCAATAGCTAAAGAATGAAACACATACATTCCATTGTTTTCAGACAAAAACAAAACAAACAAACACCAAACGCCTTGTTCCTAAAGAGTTAAATACCCAAGACAGGCGGCTGGCATTGTGGTATAGCAGGTAAAGCCACCGCCAACAACTCCAGCACCCCATATGGATGCCGGTTCGTGTCCTGGCTTCTCCACTTCGGATCCAGCGCCCTGCTAAAGGCCTGGGAAAAGCAGCAGAAGATGGACCCTACCACCCACAAGGGAGACCCTGATGAAGCTCCTGGCTCCTAATGACGTCATGGCCCAGCCTTGGCCATTGTGGCCATTGTGGGGAATGAACCAGCAGGTGGAAGAGATCTCTCTCTGTGTCTCTCCCTCTCTCTCCGTAACTCTTTCAAATAAATAAATAAAATCTTAAAATAAGTAAACACCCAAGACAGGTTTCTGTAGCTGATTGGAAAGGTGGAATTTTCCTCACCGAAGATCTGAAGTAACATTTATAGGATATATTGAAGCAAATCATGACAATCCTACTATTGGTATAAAAGCTTCCAACTAAGTTAGGGGGCCCACACTTTAATAACACAGTGCCAATTTAAATTGATTTTTAAATGCATATGCTGCATATATTAACAACAGTTTGTACTTCAGATACACAGATAAAACCTGAAGCTTCTCAACTCCTCAGAGAAGCTGAAACACAGTTACAGCTATTCTGCAGGCAAATGTGTAATGACTGTAAGCACACTGCCTGAAGTTGTCTAGCAAGGCAGATGGACATACTAACGGAAACTCGTAAGAAACTCGTTCTCACCAGCAGTTACTAGCCCCATTTGGGGACTTTTACCCTGAAATATGAGTTTGTTTGCAAATATTCACTTTAACTGTACATTTTCTTGCTAAGAAAGGGAATCTTGCCTACCCTCCGTCTCTCCCGTCTGGTCAGCACCTGTCCATGAAGCAGCCTCCAAACCATTCTGGTGGCGACCTTGGTGTCAATCCAAAGCAAGTAGAATCCGTTGTAGTAATACTTGAGTTCATCCACGATGATCTGTCTGTACGATCGCTTTCCGCCTTTAACCTTTGCCCCAGTTTCCCGTGTGGGCTCAGGGCTGGTCACCTGTGGCTTCTCTGTGGTCTGCCTCAGCTGGGATTTACCAGGATTCTCTTGGAGCCAGGGCGCTGATGTGTGCAGCTCTTGTGTCAGTCTAGTTGGTAAGCAGAGTGTGTTGTTGCCTAACTGACCGGGGCAGGATACCTTCCTGCTTTCACGGTTCTTCGTGTATGTCCTCAAACGCGAATCCAGCAAGGGCAGAAACCCAAGTGACGGTGAGTAAGAGGAGCAGGCAGGACGCACAAAATGGCCAGGGAATCTGGAACAAATGGCAACTTCTGCTGAGCTAGCACAAACTATCACACACTTACCCATTAAAGAAATATTTTATTTTATTTGATTGAAATAAAACAATGCTTTTTAAGCCTCTATTTTAGAAGTTTACTAATGAGTGAACTATAACTTTTTACGCCAGTTCAAAAACAGTACGCCCTATGTTTGAACAACATACTATGAGCTATTAATAAACTAATTCCTAAGAATTGCTTTATTACTAGTTAGAAATTCTGTGACTAGTCACTAAAAAATCTAATAGTAAACATTGTTCCAAAAAGGGTTTGATATTGTTTTTTCTAGCTACTATCAAAAAAAGGGCAGAGGATTTGTGTCTTTAGCCACTCTCCTGGTAAAAGGAATGGTTTGATGAAACATTTCAAGGTCCCCATGGGGAGTAAACCAATCATAAAATACAGCTTTACCTACCAGATGTCTATGAATCTCATCAAACAAGAGGCACTGACAGCTGAAGTGCCAATCACCTAATATTCCCCAAGAACATTAGGAATACAAACTGGACACAGAGGGTGTAAGCCACTGCTTGTGAGACCAGTATCCCGGATCAGAGTGCTGGTTTGAGTGCTGGCTGCTCCACCTCACATCCAGCTTTCTGCTCTTGGATCTGGGAAGGCTGCAGATGATGGCTCAAGTACTTGGGACCCTGCCACCCATAAGGGAAACCTGGATGGAGTTCGTGATCCCTAGCTTTGGCCTGGCCCAGCCCTTGCTGTTGCAGGCATTTGGTCTCTCTCCTCCCTCACTCCCCCATAACTCTTTTGGATAAATTAATCCAAAAATTAAAATTAAATTAAAAAAGAAAAAAGAACCAGGCAGCCCAGCCACTGATCTCTACATTCTAGGACTGAAAAAGCCACAATTTTCATTGAAGCCAGCATATCAGATTATTTGAAAATAAAAAGAAGACAGATCCAGGCAAAGAAAGAAAGTTACTGGCGGCAAAGACTTCCCAGTCTTTCAGACTATTCTTGAAGCATGCCAAATAATAAAAAAATTTTTTTGAATAGCCAAAAAGGAAAATGTACAGTGCACTGGGCACAAAATAAGTTCCCAGTGAATGTCCTTATGAATAAGTAATAACAGACCTTAGTGGGACAGGAGTATGCTTGCCTACCAGTCACTTTACTCCTTTATACAACTGATCCTTTACCACACAGGAGTCACGCTTCTGTCTAACCTATACCAAGCAGCTACAAGAGCAGTCTGGATTCCAAAGAATATAAAAAATGTGGGGGAAATTTAAATGTCAGCTTCCTAAAAACCAATATAGTTAAAACTTCCCATCTAGAAGAAAGGACATATATATATACTGGATGGGGGGATGACAACGCTTACCTGGTTCGGACAATGGCTAAGAGTGAATTATAACTGTAGAGGGCCATATTTGCTTTTGTCTCAACTAGTCAACATAGGGACCTAGACAAAAGAAGTAGACAATTCAGTGTTTTGAAAGCACATCCATTGAAAGGGATCAAGCGTCTTTTTAGCTATTGCAAAAGAAATTTACATATTCAGGGTGCAAAATTTCCACTTCATTTCCAACAATCCTGAATCATGTTTGCTTAGCTCTGGATTTGGGAATGGTACACTGGAGATACTAACACAGAAATAAGTTTCCAAGACGCTGTTGCTCATGAAGATGACCCGATCCTCTAAGATATTTTGATTTTTGGTGGAAAGTATTTACTAACCTTAATCCGAATGGCTAAAAGTATTTAAGAAGCTGCGAAAGGCACACTTATCTGTAGTGTACAGGTGGAAAAGTAAATATTCCGGGTTTGTTTCCAATGAGCTTTGCTCCATATTTGGCCAAGCGGCTCTAAACCGCGGAAGACTGACAGTACTCACTAATCTCACTTATGTAACAGCGAGGAATACACGTGGTAGCCACTTCAGCGTTCCCGTGGAGCTAAAACGGTCTCCCCTGGGTTCTCCAGGGCCCTAACCGAGCTTCCGGGAACCCTGCGCCCGGCCTGCGGCGCCCTTCTGCTGGGGGCGGCCGGGGGCAGCCGTGGACCAGAACATCCCAGGCCTTCAGCTGTGCTTCCTTGCAGCCGTGGCGGGGAGGCGTACCGCGGTCTCTCCTGTGCGGGAACCGCAACCACGGCGCCCATAACAGGGGCTCAGAACCTCTGAACCCAGCCTAACGGCGGATGAGGTCCCGCTGCAGGGAGACGGGACCCCGTGCGGCGGTTAAGGGCTGTCCCGCCCCGGGCTGCGGGCAGCCGCGCCCCCGGCCAGCCCAGCGCGGGGTCCCCGGGGTTACCTGCGCGGCTGGCCCGTCGCCACCGGGTGCAAAGCGCGCCCGCGGCTTCCGCAGCCAGCGGCTCTCGTGCGCGTGGCGTGTTTGGTGTGTGTGTGTGTGTTCTGGGGGGAGGTCAGTAGGTGGATGGTGTGGCGTGTGTGGGTGTGTGTATTTTGGGGGGCGGTCAGTAGGTGTATGGCTGCGGTGTTGGTGTTGATGGTGCGGGGCGTGTTTGGTGTGTGTATGTGTGCGTATGTGTTTGGTGTGAGTATGGGTGGATGGGTGTGTGTGTGTGCGGGCAGGCAAGGCGGGGGCGCCCAACGTCTTCGGGGCGGGGGTGGGGGGGCGAGGTCCCAGTGCCCAAGGAAAGGCGAGGGGGTGAGGGCCGGCCCACACCCGGGACCCCTGGGCGGTGGTGGGCGAGGGGGCGGGCTCCGGAGGGGCAAAGACTCGGCCCCGCACCCCTACCTCCTCGGCCTGGCTCCCGGGGACGGCCCGCTCAGTCCTCCCAGGGCCCCCCACGCTAGAAGGGCCCGAAGCCGGTCTCCACGGCTCCACCTCTCGCCCTGTGACGTCACTGAGTGACGACACCGCCCGCCAATGAGCTCTCGGCTGCCGGGGAGGGCGACCTCGGCCGTCGCACCTCCGGGGCGGCCAGGCGGCGGTCCCGTGGGCTGCGGGACTTCTCTGCCGGGTCCGGTACACGGAGCGCAGGTGCGGGGGGCTCCGGCACCAACGTCTTTCCGTCTGCACACGCTTGTGTGGGCCGACGAGGGCGGACCGAAGCCGCTCTTAGCGGCGCGGAGTATGACAGTCGCCATGGGAACCACACGGCGTCACCAAAGACGTCATGATGTGGTCCCCCTGCACCCCGAGAGTACCTAGGGGTCCGAGCGGGTGGGGGGACGAGGAGGACACCCTTCTCCCGCGGCGTGCTGCAGTCTTCACGTGGAAGCCCGAAGTCCACTAAGGGAATTCGCTCTGCAAGTGTGACAGGTGTTGCTTATGCTCGGTAACGCGCGTGGAAGTCTCAGCGGCGAAGGCGTGCACGAGATGACGCACGCCCCGCAGGTTTGGGGGGCACGGCCACTGAGCCATCTGGACGGATTCTGCTTCTTGTTACCTTTACCCATCCATTTCCTTTTATTTTCATTTTGTTTGAAAGGAAGAGAGACAGAGACCTCCCACCTGCCTGTTCGCTCCCCGAGTGCCAGACATGTTGGGGCTGCGCCAGGCTGGAGCCAGGCAGGGGCCCGGAACTCCATCCGGATCTCCCTCGAGGGTGCAGGGCCCAGGCACCTGAACTGCCGCCGCCTGCTGTCTCCCAAGCGCGGGCCTGGGGCCAGGCGCTCCGCTCCGGCCCTTCTGCTAGGCGCCGGCCTCTCTCCCCAGACGCCGCGGAGGCGCCTTCTCCCGGAGAGCGCGCCCCACAGTGTGCGAGCTGAGCGCAGGCGCTGCTCACCCGGCGGCTCGCGGGCTCGTGTTACCGCTCGGGACTCTCCCGGCGTCTTCGGCTGAGCCACTGGGGCTCCGCTGTCCTTACGCAGGCAGCGAGCTTTCCGGCGTGGCCACTAGAGGGCCCTTGGTGCATGCCCGATGTCCCCCTTCCATACGGAAAGATTTCATTTCACGTTCCGTGTTTACTACAGTCGGGATCCACGAAGGTGTCTCCCTGTACCTTCCCCCTCCTGAAAACTCCTGATGGTAAATTCTGAGCTCGGCAAGAGAGCTGTAAACTTGGCATGCACTTTCGTAAGTTAATCACGGCACCACCATACAGGTACTCGCAGTTTTCTGGAAAAGATCATAAAAGGGTGCAAAAATACGTCTCTCAGTTCCCTGGGAGACATTTTATACCGGGAAATATTCTTATTCATGTGTTGTATTCGCTTACAACCAGGCAACCATCGAGAATCATTAAGTATTCATAAACCAGATGAATGACTCAAGCCCAGTCTTTGAAAGATGAGCTGGTTTTCTTTGCAGCCATATGTCAGCAATCCTGTTCTAAAACGGGAAGGGTTAAAGCCCCTTCTCACTGAAATCCATTCCTTCAAAAAGCAATGCTCCCTTCTCCTGTTTTCAGGCTTCTTAATTTCTTGGACTTTCAGGATAAGTGATTTACCATATGAGAGTTTCTGTATATAATTTTCAGAAGCCAAAAAATTTCCTTTCCTCCATAACTCTACCTCTGAGAATTGTGTTCGATTTCTGTCTTAATTAAATTTGCTCCTTTTTTTGGCCGGCGCTGCGGCTCACTAGGCTAATCCTCCGCCTTGCGGCGCCGGCACACCAGGTTCTAGTCCCGGTCGGGGCTCCAGATTCTGTCTCTGTTGCCCCTCTTCCAGGCCAGCTCTCTGCTGTGGCCTGGGAGTGCAGTGGAGGATGGCCCAGGTGCTTGGGCCCTGCACCCCATGGGAGACCAGGAGAAGCACCTGGCTCCTGCCTTCGGATCAGCGCAGTGCACCGGCCGCAGCGGCCATTGGAGGGTGAACCAACGGCAAAAGGAAGACCATTCTCTCTGTCTCTCTCACTGTCCACTCTGTCAAAAAAAAATTTTTTTTGCTCTTTTTAATGGAGCAGAGTAAGCATGTTCATAATCCCATAATTGTTACATGCTGAAGATATATTTTTGTCTATTTTTTAAAAACATTTATTTTCATCTACTTGAAAGGCAGAGCAATGGGTGGTGAGAGAGAGAGGATCTTTCATTCCCTGGTTCACTCCCCAAACACCCCCTAACAGCTAGGTCTGGGCCAGGCTGAAGCCAGGAGCCTGGAAGGTCATCTGGGTCTCCCATGTGGATGGCAAGGGCCCATGTACTTGAGCAATCCTTTGCTGCCTCAATGGCAGGAACCCAGATCAGAAACGGAGCAGCCCAGACTTGAGCCAGGCACTCTGCCCTTGAATGCAGACAACCCAAAGGCAGTTCAACCTGTGTACCACATTGCTTGTACCTAAATTATTATTTTCATGGCCATTTCCTAAATATGGCTCCACCTAAAATATTAAATTTTCTAAAATTTGGAAGAAGAGACTATGCGTGTACTTCACATATTTCTTTAAAAATGATTTATTTATTTGAAAGGCAGAGATACAGGGAGAGGAGAAAGAGAAGTGACAAAAGGGAGAGAGAGATCTTCCGTCGACTGGTTCACTGCCCAAATGGCTGCAATGGCCCAGGCTGGGCCAGGCTGAAGCCAGAAGCCAGGAGCTTCTTCCAGGTCTTCCATGTGTGTGCAGGGGCTCAAGGACTTGGGCCATCTTTTCCAGACACATCAGCAGGGAGCTGGATGGGAAGTGGAGCAGCCAGGACTTGAACAGGTGGCCAGGACTTGAACAGCCATCCAAATGGGCAGCGGCTTACCCTTCTATGCCACAGCGCCAGCCCCAACATAATTTAAAATTCCAAACTCTTGTTCTGGGCATGATTAGAAGCAGGCCAGTATAAAAATCTTCGAGAACAACTTACCTGATTCTTTTTAAGGGGGAAATCCCGGTATTAAGTCACAGCAACAGCTTATCAGTAAAGCAAAGACAGAGAGGGTGCAAAGAGTAAGAGGGAGACAGAACCATAGAAAAAGAAAATAAAATATAGACCTTCTCCCAGGAGGTAGAATAAAACCAGGCCCAGGTGTTTCTCTATGGCCATTTTTTTTTAAATAACAAATAAAAATGTGCTTTTATCGATTCCTTTAGCTTTAATAGTATTACGAACTCTAATCAGTTTCACCCTTAGTATTGACAGGGTTATTATTATTTTTGTAACTAACACTTATTTAGTGCCCATGAAAATTAGCGATCTGTAGAGATCGTCTCTTATTTCAGTGCACTTAATAGGTAAAGCTACCAGGACCAGATTGTGCTGGCTGCTAACTGATCCGCGGTGCTCTCCCGACTTTTCCTACTGAGACGACGAGCATCAATGTGGCTTAAATATTCCAAGAACAAAATCCCACGGCTGATCTCATGGGAAAGCTTTCGAACCGTTTCTATCGATACCTGGTACCAGACCGGGGTGTCCACGAAACGCACCCCGCGGCACCCACCTAGGACCCGCCATTGTCTCCCACGTCCGCGGCCGGCGCGGGCACCCCAGAGGCGCGCCCCTCGGCCGGACACGCCGCCCTCACAGCGCCCGGGCGGCCGGCGGGGGCCCCGGCACGTGACGGGCCCCGAGTCCGCGGGGTCCCGGCAGGCCGCTGACGTCCTCCGGGCTACCCACAAGCCTCCGGGCGGGCAGGAAGGCGGCGCGCGCCGCCGGTGCCGGCCCGGGCGGTCGGGGCGCTTCCCGGGCGGCACCGAGACGCCGCCGCCGGCTTCCCACACTCACGCCCACCGCCGAATGCCACACGGACCCCGGGGCTTCCCGATGTAGCCGCCCCACACACAGCCCCGGAAGAGCAGGAAGCCATTCCCCCTGACAGCTGTCGGGCTGGAGGCAGCCGAGGGGGACGCTCGGAAAGCATCCCCGACTCTCTCTCTCCACCGGGCGCCCGTGTGTGTAGGGAACTGCACGGCCGTGCCACTCTGAGGAGAACCAGATGGCGTTTAGTACGCGAGCCGCTAGCTAGCCATGTCCACACCATCACGGTTTCACCTCACGGGCCCACCCCTTAACCTGTTCCTCCGCCGCCTAGTTCTTGTTTCGTTCTCGACGCCAGCGCTTCCTGTCTCTTTGCCCTACCGCCCGCGGCCTCCCTCCGGATCCGCGCCGCTCGCTACTCCCCGCGGCTCCCCTCAGCCCCGCCGTCTGGCCGCTTCCTCCTCTCGCCCCCTGCGCTCCAAACCCGGGACTGCATTTCCCGGCAGGCGCCGCGGCCGGTGGCCAATCAGGAGCTGAGGATTTGGCGGCGGCGGCGGCGGCGCCCCGAGAGTCGGGGTGGGGGGGCTTTGTGCGCGGCGGCGGCGGCGGCGGCGGCGGCGGGAGCGGGCGGCGACGGCGACGGAGACAGCGGCGGCCAGCACGGAGGCGGAGGCCGGGGGCGCTGTGGGCAGGTCGCCGCGGAGAGGCGTGCGAATTCCGAGTCGAGCCCCGAGGACCCCGCTGCCCCGGCCGGGACGCCAGCCACAGGCTCCTCTCAGGCAACCCCGGCTGCGCGGCGACCCCCAGCCCCTGCGGCCCCCCGTGCCCACTCCGCCTCCCGCAGCCTTCCTCCGCCCCGCAGCGCGCCCGGCCCGGCCCGGCCGTGGCCCTCCTCGGTGCCGGCCGCCATGGCAGAGGCGTCCGGCGCGGGGGAAATCTAGCCCGGGGATTTCATGCGGCCTAGTCCGGTTCCGTCTCCTCCCCCGCCGCGGCCCCGGCAGCTGCCTGCACCCCAAGCCCCACTCCGGGCCCCCGTGTCTGTCTCTCCTGTGATCGTACTGACACGGCCGGGGGGTTAGAATGGAACAAACTGAAGGTAAAGTGCGGGTGTGTGCGTGTGTCTGTGTGTGCGCGCGCGCGTGCATAGTGCAAGGCTGAGCCGAGGGAGCCGCGGGGAAGGGGCGACTCGGGGATGAGGCGCGGGTGGGAGAGGGAGACCCAGGAACTGGAGGAGCAGCGGGGCTTCTGCGCGGGTTCGGTGGGGAGCCGAGAGGGAGGAGCAGATGGCAAGGTGGGGGGTGTGGAGGGAATTGGGGGGTGGGGCAGGGAAGGTCGGAGTGGGGTTAGAGCTGTGGCGCTGGGAATTGGGAGTAGAGGTGGGGATGGAGATGGGCAGGGGGAGAAAGGGAAGAGTTGGATCTGGAGATCCGAGGACCCCGACGTGGGGAGGTCTGCGGGTGTAGCGTGTGTGGAGCTTAGGGGAGTCCGGGGTATGTGTGCTGGCGGGGCGAGGGAGGAGAATAGAATTTGATGGGGAGTCGGGGGCACCTTGCGGGGGTCGAGGGAGAACCGGGGCAGGGAAGTGGAGGGAGCGATGGACCCGAGAAGGGGTGGGAGATGGAAGAGGCAGGATGCTCGGGGAAGGTGGGGAGTAGACGCAGGGAGCTGGGAGACGGGATTGGGTGAGGGGAGGGAATTGACTGGCTGTCGGAAGGGCTGAGCTCGGCCGAGCGGCCTCGCCGGGTGGGAGGGAGAGAGGGGATGGGGTTGTGAAAGTGTTAGGCTGCGAAAGCCTTTTGTTCTTATATTTGTATGCGTTTTGTGCCTTGCCTCTCGAGGCTGGAGCGTGGAGGAGCCAGTGGCTATTTGCGGCTGGGATTGTCGTGAGATGGGGGAGGTGTGGGTTCGGCTGCTCTGAGGGAGATGTGTTTGTGTTATGGTAGGGAGACAGGGGGAGACATGGCCATAATTTGATGGTTTTGGTGAGGGAGTGAAGACTTCCGATTTAAAGGGGGCAGGGGCAGCCATGTTTGCTGCCAGGCACTGCAGTGTAAATAAATTCTTTTCCTCTCGAGCGTCCGTGTGAATCTGCAAGGGGCCAGCTCTGGTTGTTAGCCCCATTGCTTTCTGTTCATGAATTCCTCTCCCCTGCGTCTCAGGCCATTTAAAATTATTCATAACCGCCAAAGGAGGCAGCGGTGTTTTCCATCTTGTGTGTTTTGCTGCTCTCCCCCTCTCTCTTCCCTCTTCCTTGTGGCTGCAAGCTAGGCATGCTGATGAGCTGCAGTGTAAAATTTAACCCTTTCATCAATTTCAAACTGGATTTTTACTGTCTGTAGGAGTCATTACTACTCTCGCATGGCAAACATGATCGCGAAAAGTCTTCCGAAGACTGAAAAATTTGTTTGTTTCAGAAGCTGTCAACATGTCTTTTTTTTTTTTTCTTTCTCCCAATTCTTTAAGTAAACAAGGAAATTGCATCGGTTATTTTACTTGGGCCTGTGCTCTTGGCAAAGCACTGTGGGAGTAGCAGGGGCAGAGAAATCTGCTTGCAATAGATGCTCTGCTTGATATACTTTGAATGTCGGAAAATTAGAAATGTGTACATTTAGAATAGTGTTTCTGATACTTATAGTTGATGATGGGTGTGTTCAGAAAAATGCCTTTTTTTTTTTTTAAATAAACTCTGTATTTCCCTCATCCCTTTTCTTTGCTTTCAAGTAGCTAGCTCAGTACTACCTCCAGTTCAGCACGGTGCAGTGGTCTATGCAGCAGGCATGCATTTCTTTGAGCATGGTTGTATTGCCAGTTTATTTTGGGGGGTGAGGTGGAGTGGGGTGGGAAGTTCAGGTCATTCTCAGGAAAGCTACAGGACCTCTTTAATGTATTTAAACTAAGTACTTGCGTGGTTTGACATAGTTGATACTCCAAAGGTTCAAATCCTGAAAAATTTGTAGTAGATAAATTGGCACTAAGTAGAACCTATCTTATTTTCATATTGAAAAGGATTAAATGTGTGCGTGACCTTTGGTTTTTCTGATTTTAATTGGGATGATCCAAACTTTTATCCACCATATTGACATTGTAGCTCTTCTGTACTAGCAGGGAGGTCCGTTTAAGCTATAATACAATGGACTGCATATCAATTTAATCTACCTCAATGCCAGTATCTTCTCAGTTGTTACTTAGGATGTGTTCTTGGTTTGTTGCAGGAATTAAATTGAATATTGTTAGACTGGTACTTTGTAAGAGTACTGTTATTATTTTATCATCAAGGCTCAATTTAAAACAACATATTTTGATTCAGATAATATTCAGTCTCAGGTTTTTGAAATTTTGTGAGGAAAAGTTTCATTTGAAAAACTATTCAGTGGCTTTTATATTTGGAATTTATTTTTGCAGAAAGTCATTTTATATCTCCCACTTAACCAACTTGTTATTTGTAATTAGTTGGTAAATTATGTACAGGAACATGAATTTTTAGGAAAATGAAAAGTTGTATATTAAAATAGAAAAATAGTCACATTGGCAGCTTGAACCACTAAAATAAAGTATATCCCTGTGGATTTAGCTTCTGGGCATTCTGGAAAGAGCAGGGTCCCCTGCTCAGCTGTCATGAGTAGTCTGCTTCCTTGGACAGGTATCCTGTAATGGATAAGGCTACTCTGGTTAGATAACACTTAAAACCCAAACTTTGTTTTAATTACCTCATTCATTAGCCCACCTCCTACCTATGATGGCTTTCTTTTTTTAACTAAATTAGCATATGCTGTCTTTTCTCCTGGTCAGATTGAATGAGTTTTGATAAAGGAAATCGATTGTGAAATTGATGATCCTGGAAAAACCATCAAATCCGATTCTAAAGACAGCAATATTTGGGATTTATTATACTATTCATAACAACTACAATAATAGCTGCTAACAGTCGTCCTCTTACGGTGTGCTATGTTGAGTGTCTTACACGCATGACTGCCTTTTGTACTCCTGACAGGTGTATGAGATTAGTACTTTCAACTCCTCTTTTTGGGTGGGGAAGCTAAAGTTCAGTAACTTAATAATAACATCACAGAAGTGATCAATAACAAAGCCAATATTTGAGCCTGGGTGTTTTACAGTAAAAAAAAAAATCTGGATCAACAGAACTTTTAGTTTTTTATTTTTTTTATTTTTTTTTTATTTTTGACAGGCAGAGTGGACAGTGAGAGAGACAGACAGAGAGAGAAAGGTCTTCCTTTGCCGTTGGTTCACCCTCCAATGGCCGCCGCTGCAGCCGGCGCACCGCGCTGATCCGATGGCAGGAGCCAGGATCCAGGTGCTTTTCCTGGTCTCCCATGGGGTGCAGGGCCCAAGCACCTGGGCCATCCTCCACTGCACTCCCTGGCCACAGCAGAGAGCTGGCCTGGAAGAGGGGCAACCGGGACAGAATCCGGCGCCCCAACCGGGACTAGAACCCGGTGTGCCGGCGCCGCAAGGTGGAGGATTAGCCTAGTGAGCCACGGCGCCGGCCTACTTTTAGTTTATTTTTAAAACACATAAAAATAATACACGTTCATTATTTTTAACATGCTCAAATATTATAGACTAAGAATTTAATTTTTTTAAAAAGTGCCCCCAATTTCCACGTTGGAGTTTCTTGTGTGTCCTTCTAGAAAATACCTGTGCATACGGAGTTTATTTCTCTTGAAACACTTACAAATGGTAACATACTATTAGTATTTTTCTTTTTTGTTTTAGCAGACTGTCTAAGGCATATTTCTATAGAGATCCACAGCTTTTTTTTTTTAGGGACATGTAATATTTCATTGTTTCGTTTCAGTCGTTAACAGGTTTTTGCTAAAATAAGTAATGTAAAAGAGCTTGAATTAAGTTCCTAGCAATCTGCTTAAACGGAAGGGAGGTAGTCCAACTACCTGATTTCACAAGACAAAACCTGAGGCCGGAGAAGTGAAGGCCAAGGCATTGATGACAGCCCTGTGCCTTAGCTCTTCATACTGCAGCATGTTACTTCCCCTCTCTGAGGAGACTGGAGCTGTCCGTGAATGCTCAAGGTGATGGGGAACACTCAGGGCGAGGAACCTTGGGAGTCGCTGGCGGCGAGGCGAGGAAGCCTGTGCTTTTTCATACTCCGTTCATCCTGTCGCACCTATGACAGATGCACACAATATTTTTACATGCACAATGAATTGTGTCCAAGTTATCTCGAAGTTTGTGTTTTGTGTGATGAAGTAGTTTTTGGCAGGATATTTCTGTTGAACAAAATTGTCAATGAAGTAAGACAGCAATAAAAAGAAAAAAAAATCCTTCAAAAAGGACATGGAAAGAAAATTGAGACACTTGGTAAGTTTTTAAAAACAAGCTAAAAATACCTAATTGAAAACAATAAGTTTAAAAAAACTTAGACCTTGTGGATTACTTTATTTTTAATTATTTTTACATATCAAGAAAATGAGTTACCATGGATACTTACTCATTGAGTTCTTTTAAAACAAAAAGATAGTCTTGTCTGTTGTAGACACTTAAAAAATTAAAATCATTAAAGCTTTAAAAAGATTTAGAATTTGGTATCCAGCCATTATGTCTGTTTCTCAATTCAGTGCTGGTTTTAGTTTTACTTTAAAAAAGCAGAGTCTATTATTTTTTGAAAGAGCAACTAAGATGATTTATTCTTTTGTTAATAAACAACATGTCCAGCATTTGAGTTTTTAAATAAATGGTGAGCTTATTTCTGCAGGCTAATCTTTCTACAAATATTAATAAGGATACATTTAAGAAATAGATTATACTAAGACTATGTAACATTTTTTGAAAGCTTAAAGTTTTTTTTCCATTTTTACTGTTTACCTTAGTTAATGCTTAATAAATAAACACTTCTGTAGTATGTTGTTCCTATATAGTATGGCATGAAAACAAGGAGAATACATGTATTTTAAACTTTGCAGATTTGGAGAATGTTGTGTTTAAAAGATTTACTTATTTATTTTGAAAATCATAGAGAGAGATCTTCTAACCACTGGTTCACTCTCCAGATGGCCACCATGAAGCCAGGAGTCAGGAGCTTCTTTGGTGTTTCTCACATGGGTAGCAGGGGCCCAGGTA